GGGAGGTCAGAGAGGAGACCACCTACTACATCCGTTGGCAGTCCAGCGGGCAGGTCAGATAGGAGGCCACCAAGTGCGGTAGGGAGTTCAGTTGGAAGGGCAGCAGGGAGGTCAGAAAGAAGACCACCAAGTGCGGTGGGGAGTTCAGTGGGGAGGCCAGAGAGAAGATCACCCAGTCCAGTGGGGAGTTCAGTGGGGAGGCCAGCTTCTGAGAGGAGACCACCTAGTGCGGTAGGGAGTTCGGTAGGGAGAGCAACAGGGAGGTCAGAAAGAAGACCATCAAGTGCGGTGGGGAGTTCAGTGGGGAGGCCAGGAAGAAGATCCCCCAGTCCAGTAGGGAGTTCAGTAGGGAGGCCAGAAAGAAGATCTCCCAGTCCAGTAGGGAGTTCAGTAGGGAGGCCAGAGAGAAGGCCACCTAGTGCGTCGGTCGGCAGTTCAGATGGGAGCGCGGGGAGCCCAGAGAGAATACCATCTGGCAGGCCACCTAATGCGCTAGGGAGGCCATTCAGAGCATCTGTTGGCAGTGGCAGGCTCCCCAATATATCTGTCGGTAGTGCTGGCAGGCCATCTAACGCATCTGTCGGGAGGCCACTTGGCAGGCCTAAAGCGCTTAGAGGTCCAGAAAGGTCACCCAATGCACCTGTTGGTACTGGTAGGCCGGAAAGGGCAGCAGGGAGGCCACCTAGCAGGCCGCCTAATACATCAGTCGGTGCTGGTAGGCCTGGCAATGCGTTGGATGGTACTGGCGAGCCAGCGGTAAGTGCCGATAGATTCAAAGGGAGGCCACCAGGAAGAGTGAGTGGCAATCCACCAAGTGGTTTAACAGCTGGAAGTCCATTTGGTTTCAATGGTTTAAGAGTCGAAATCAAACTCCTTAAAACGTTGTTCATCTCGTCGGCCTGATCTTGAATATTTTGCGGTACGTATGGTGCTAACTGTTGTATGGCCGGGCAGAGATTGCACGTCTCAATAATTCCGCTTGGAACCTGTCGTTTGAAGACATCCTCGCGTTCGGTCTTGAAAGTCTTGAAGCGTTGGTCCTTTGCAATCGCCGGAGCTCCGTTGATCGTTGGAGTGACAAGTAAAACCACGAAAAGGGCATGAAGAAGCCCCAGAGTCGAAGCCATTGTGTCGAAGTCTCGCCTATGATAGGCCGGTAATTTCTTGGTATTCTTCTTCTCTCTGTTAATATACTAGAATTTGTAGCATTCTTCTTCAGATATTTCGCATTCTTCAACCAACGAGCCGCTTTGTGAACGATACATTCCAGGCCTCCTCCATCATGTATCTAGTTTAAGGTGGCTAGGTATTCACGCCCAACGATCAAGGCAGCTGTGGTGGGACAGTCACAGTAAAAACGCGTCGGGACGGAGATGACGATGGTGCTAAGCAAGCATTGACCGTTCGCCACTGTAAGATGGTTTTGCAAAGAATGGGAGTGCTTTATTGCGCTTTGCGTAACCTTGTTGATGCACATTCCTACACGCATGATATACCTTCGTAAAAGTTTTGAGGTATTCGTATTGCATGTCTGTATCTTGATACATATAGTTCAAGAGTCAAAAGTTATTGCCCAGCCAAACATAACACTATCGAACACAGAAGCGATACTTGGAAGCTTCCCAGTGGAGCACAACTAACACCTTCCCCTTTGTGGCCAATTGGTGGACTATCACTAACTAACTACATCTCTTTTGGGACCAACGGGTAGGCTGTACCACATGTGCTTGGAATGAACGGTCTAAGGGCCCAGCGCAGTGGGTTGACAATCGGACTTGCGACCCAGTATCGCGGTACGTACGACTCACTACAGTAGATCTGTGGTCCTAACCACCAGTAAAGTACCACAAACAATTTTGACGTTCTATCAGCCCACTTTATTCTGGATTGTGGAAGATACTGTGCGCTTATACGCCAGCATGCAACAGGGGTTGGCGACATTAATTATGTACCAACGAACGTCGGTTATAGAGAGAAGAATAAGCACTGTACTGGAGATACACTATACATATGTCATTTCCCTCAGGCAGACGTAAAATTTATACTACCTTACTTCCAGCCGTTATTCTCAATCTCACGCAATTCGTTAACATTGACGTTACTTGTCCATATTAATCAATCAAGCATATATATGATTAGTCTCGTATGATAGTGCAACGCAAGGCATCGATCGGATGTCGATCGGATGTCGATTCTTTACAGATCAGCCCACGCTAAAGTGTGCGGGGACACATTCCTTAGATGACGGTCTAATACTGCTAGTTTCACATTCAAGTCCGCATCTTTCTTATATTAAAAAGTATCTAACGTGAAGTATGTTCACTTTGCTCTAAATACACTATGGTTGTACAATATTTTCTAAGAGACAAGGGCTAGATTTTAAAAGATAAGATTGAAATCTTGGTTTACACGTGGCTTCCCGCATGCAAGATCTCCTACGGCCCGCGTCAGATAGTGGCTACCAACTGCCCTTGCACGATTGGTCCGAAAAGGCGCCTCACTAAACTATTTGTATCCTTCTAGTCTCGTTCTACTATTCATGTCCAAGAAAAAATATAACGTAACGAGACGCCAGTGTCTTAGGTGGTTAGAGAATATCCGCGTCATCTATTAGTGTACAGAAGATCCCAATTTACGTTTACCTCTCAAGGATAAGCCGACGTGTCTACCTGCATTCTAGTGGTATAACATACAGTCTCAATCTAAATAATCTCACTTTATCCGTATCCCTTCGCCAACCCCGCCATGATCTTCATAAGGCAGTATAGCAAATTTTTCACTAGACAATGTATCAAGAAAATCTTCAAACCGCCGAAGATGAGTCACATACATGCCTAAAGTAGGTTGGATCTAGATTTACCAAAACCACTCTAGGTGGGTAGTATAGAGCGTGTGGCTTTAGATAGTTTCAGAGGTACATCGAACCTTTCTAACCTTGAAGCATAGTCTACCAGTGCAGCTCAATCGGCGAAGAGCGCAGGTTACGTTCAAAAAGTGGTAAGTAACTGCCAGGAATGTTTGTCCGCATCGATCGACGTTGCAGTAAGGCTCGCACATAGATCGGAATGAGAACATGGCACCATCGAAACAGATTGAGGAGAAGTCCGCGTGGCAACAATAGAGCTAGAGTCAGAGCTAGGAGGTGGCGTTGTACGTTTTACGGGGAGGGTATACTAGCGTCCCTGACCAAGAAGAGCATTTGAATGAGGGATAAATTGGTAGACAAGAACAGAGTGCAATACACCGACTCGATACCAATGTGTCTTACCACTATCACAGAGAAAAATAAGTTGGAAAGCCCGGAGAGCTCTCTGCAAAACCACAATCACAGCAAACTCCATAAACAGTTCTCAACCATTTAGTTCTACTGAATATGATAATGTTATCCGGAGATGGCCGCGCAATGCCTAAGCAATGGAACCTTAGCGGTTCTCAACGAGTCAAAACCATCATACCTCATATTGGTGATGCGTTACACATTTGAGCGCATGATAAATCCATCTAGTGTTAGTCACCTAAGCTCTAATAGTAATAAGCGCAAATAAAATGACTCCATACTCTCCGGCCTTCTCGCTGACCTTCGCTACAAAATGCACGTATCCTACCAACGCACCCGAAACCTGTCAGATCATCACGGTCCACGAGACCAAAATGCGGGGCCCACTGCTAGAAGCGGTATCTCGATCCCGGAATTTCGACCTTGTATACGGATTCAATAGATGTCGCACAAATGATGTAAGGGGAGGACACATTAGAGGAGGAAGGGTGTAAAGCTCACCCCGAGCTCTCCGCACTTCGTGAGGGGTATTGCGACTATAGATGGTACTGGCACCCGACGCAAAGCCTCGAGGACGCCCTAGTTATGAGTGAGAGAAGGATAAGAAGCTGTAAAGCTCGTGGAACTCTCTGCAAATCGTAAAAGCGGCATTGCAACAGAATAAACGGTACGGTACCGTGACTCAGTTTTACCGAAGCGTACCAAGAGGCAGTATTGAATACGTATCATGACATGAGTGACCAAATTGAATGTGATTCAATTTTTAATGAGGAGACCGATGGAAGATAAGCCTTCTCGTAGATAGGACCCAAAGCTGAACTAGTCAATAAATATGAAGGAGATTAGTCTGATATGCCGCATTCGCCGCAGCGCATGAAGGAAAGCAATCAAAGATTGTAGTGCTTTTAAAGAGGTAAAAATCAAGTGGACTGATCCAGACCAATGATTTAAATGCAAAGAAACGCTTTTCAGTCCAGTATTTCGTGAAGAAGGGATTCAGGTCCACGTCCGAAGCAAAGAAGGGATAGAAAGAAGCACAGTAGCAACTTCGTTCCTCGCCACCCATGTCGCATCTAGGAGCTCATTTCTGCGCCCTCATCACCACAATACACCTCATGCTCGTCGTGGAAGCTGACCTCGATGTCGTTGCCCTCCTTTTTTTTTACTTCACCCACGACCCATTCTCTCCACTGCGCACTCGTCCACAGTCCAGTCGGATCAACAGCTCGGTTGAAGACCATGACGAGACTGAGAGCATTTCTTGGCACCTCAATCCTTTTTAGATTGGGTAACGTCAGCCTTAGCGATCCGACGGAAATGTTAGCGACATATCCCTCGAACATCACAGACTCAAGCACGACAGATGTTATGGCGCTTTTCTGACCTGGTAGCAAGCGAGCCATCCATTTTGAATTATAGCTGATGTAATGATCGAAGACGAAGGTGTTGAGTTTGTAGCCGAGCGTAGCTGTCTCTGAGTAGATCTGGCGACAGACTTCTGGAAAGCGGAATGCGGATGGCGGGCATATTCTGTCTTCGATGTTCGCCGGAGCCCGGTATGTGGTCTTCATCCAGAGACTTTCTGTTGTCTTTCTGTAAACGACTTCTTCGATTTTGATGTAGTGGCCGCCCATAGCGAGGGCCCATATATGGTTTCTGATTTCGCCAGGGAGACGGAGAAGGGGAGAGTTGCTGGCATTACGTTTCACGCTATAATTGAGTCAATAAGTGTAAAGAAGAGAGGTGATCAGGTTGCCTAATGTGGACGTACATTCCAACCAGGTTCTCGGGCGTCTTTTCCATGCTGACTAGGCCATTCTCAAGGGAAACGACGGGTATGCTTTGGTTCTTTTGAGCTAGGCCTGATGTTCTCGATTTTTTCTTCCCAATTCCAGCCGCCTTAGTGACCTTGGACTTGGCTGACTTGGCCTGTAGAGCTCGGGGCGTTCGTAGAACCGGTGAGGATTCTTTCTTCCGAGAAGCCATATTGAACATTCAGTGGGTTTGTTGTAATTAGACAACGTAGAGATATTGAAATTATAGTGTTGTTGGCTTGCGCAAGTATAAGCACTCAGCAAAGTGAGCTTTCAGTAGCTTAGAGTGATTATGAACACTTAGTGAAGGTCCCCAGGCATGTATATGAGAGGGGAGTGAACGGAGTGAGTGATAGGAGACGCCAATGGTAATCAACATAAGAGCAAGTAAAACTCCAGACCATAGAGTGTGAGAGGACGGTAGTGAGAGAGCAATGGAAAGTTTGGGCTTATCATCTAGTCCAGCGCTCATCAGCCTGATTCATATAGCACTTGTGATTTGATGAGCGGTATCTTTTTTTTCTTGAAAGTGAAGGTGTATCTATAAGCACTGATAATAATATGGAGGCGACACCCCTTTGCAAGTATACGGTGACTATATCGCAGATCTGCATCAGTAAGGCTTTGAATGAAAGAAGAGGGGACACATACCTCGCAAACTGTACACCCCTTCCAATCTCTTCCACCACACTGATCCCAATGTTTCTGCTTACACGTTCCTCCACCACCTCCGGGTGTAGTCGTTGGTGTTTGTGTCGATGATGTACGGCTTGGCGTTAGGGTGGGTCGCAGCGTTGTCGAACTTGGTCTCGGTGGAGTTGGTCTCGGTGGCGTTGGGGTAGGTCGTCGCGAGGGAGTCGGTCTTGGAGGCGATGTACCCCCAAGGGTTGGCGTATCGGCATAGCTACCGTCGCAATAATAAGTGATTCCATTCAACTGCAAATCCTTCAGAATTGTGCTCAGGGCAGCTACTCCTGGTCCTTTGCATGACACGCCATTAGCCGCTTGTGCGTTCAGCGGATTGGGGTATTCGATGTGAAAGACTGGCTTGTTCAGTGCGACGAAATTTGCATACACCTGGCACTCGCCTAGCTGTGCACATTGCTCGTTGACTGCAAAATCCATGATTGGCGCCAGGTCGTTGACAATGTCTAAGCTGTTCTTAAGACCAATCTTCATGTTGTACTTCGCGGCTTCTTTTTGCATCCATCGCATGTAGTCGATCGCGTCAGTATTTTTGAGATTTAAGCCATTGTCATTTTGCTAGACACTGTTAGTTTATCATTAATGACTATTGTGGGCTGTAACTCAGTTGTCAAGCCGACTTTGTAGAAGGGTATTGGGGAGTGCTAAGCATACATATCCATCTAAAATTAAGTGTCAGCGAGGCGCTCATCATTTTCTGAAAATCTGGCCCTATATTAACAGAACTTGCAGGCCTAGAAGGAGATTATTCACCTGTGTTGTCCGGATCTATTGCATCGCATCCTTTATCAGCAGCTAGCTTGATACGCTTCGTCATTATGTTTCGAATCTGTTGACTACCTGTACGTAGCCACTTCTCATTCGGCCACTCTGGCAGTACCTTGCCCATATCTACAGCTGGAAAGTCTCTGTAGTCTTCCCTCCAATCTTCCCCAGTCCCGGCGCTGAAATAGCAAATCACGATCTTGCCCGCTGCTTTCAAACCCTTTATTGTTGACGCCGGGCTATCAAAGAGATCGATGTCCCAAACCGGAGCGTCCGTTGGTGGAAGAGGCATTTTGGACATGTCTGGTACACCTAGTAATATGATTTGAAACTTTTGTCCGCGTGTGAACGTCACATTCTGTCCAAGCGAAGGTATGACAAAGAGACCCGCCCAGAGTATGCAAGTAAGCAAGCCAAGCAGAGCTGACAATGTTTCCATCGTGGTTTTTGGAATTGGCGGAGCACGATCTAAGACTTAGACAAGCGACGAGAAAAGAGAAGAGAAGAGAGTGAAGAGTGAGGGTCCAGTGTCATGCGGCGGACTAGATCAACAAAAATTCGACGCCAACATCACGCTGGGTATATAGGCGGCAATAGGTTATGATCGCGGTGATGCTTAGGTGTTCGTTACGTACACTAGTCGACAAAATTCTATTGCAACGAGATTAATCGTTGTACGTGTCGCAGGCCTAAACGGTGCTTGGACGTATCCATATATCCATAAAGATTACACGGCCATAGGCGAGCCAACCAGGCTGAGCGGGCGTGTTTATAATGAAGGTCTGGTCACACCGGGATCTTATTATAAGGCTCGTTGTCGTGGCTAGACTGCGTAGAAGAAGCGGACAAAAGACATAACTCGGATCGCATTGCCAGAAGACTGAGGGATTTTCGGCTCGCTGTTAGGACTCAACAGAGCTTGGGAAAGTCGTTGAAACCACTGCGCAAGAGTCGTTCGGAAATGCCACTACACTGGGACGGAGATTTCCGAATCGTGTACGGCATAGGCTTAAACGTTCGGCAGATGCATATATGCGGGGAAAGCTTGATTCGTTTTTCCTCGTGGCCATGGCAAAAACAGCGTCCGTCAGGCTGATGGTCGATGAGCATGTTCTGGATGCGGCTAAATAAGGCGACAATCTCGAACCCGCCATATAAACGAGACCTAATGACGGTGACCACTAAGATGAGCTTAAATGGTAGAGTTCTTTTCACAAGGCATGTTGATGCTTGGTTTTGGAAGGATTCGAGTTGCACAGGACACTATTGTGTAATTAGATGAGCACGCAAGGTCAGGTTGCGATGAGAATTTGCAGGGATATGAAGCGTACTAGGCCTTGGATGCTGGTGTCATTGAGGGAGTTATTGAGGCTGCACAGTCTTCTTATTGACCTGGGAAAAGGCCATGATTCATCCCTGAGAGTGATGGCGTACCAGGCTCAAGAGCGCTGATTTTGAGTTATGAGACTTTGTTTCATCGTGTGTGGCTGGGCAAACGGGCTAATCTGCAGAGTAATGGTCCTTCTGAAACAGCCTAGCACAGCCTATAGCATTCGTTGCTGGTTTTTTGCTGTCGAGCAATTGTTACTGGTTGCTCCAAGTGATCGCTGACGGGATGACGAGAGGTGGTTATCGATAAGAATCAGTCCAAGCCGCTATCCGAACATTTTCCGATGTCGCGTCTCATGGGCTCATGAAATGTTTCGCATCTCTCTTTCGCGTGTTACAACTCTTGTGTATATTACCTTTGGTTCGGCAGTCCCAATGGGACACATTCTCGCTTCTTAAGACCTGTTCTATCATCAACGCGCCTGCTGATGCTTGCGCTTCGTCCACCGCGATGCCTTCTCCACTCCTTACGATATACGCAGACACGAACATTACGAACATTACCACGAGACATACCGACGTACATCAAACGATGGGATCCCACTCTTCACCGACCGATTCCACCTTCAAAGGTGTTGACTAAGCTGGAAGAAACTCGAGAAGCTGCACCTGACGATGCCTCACAACGAGTGGAGCGAGACGTGCTTCGCGACACGCAAACCTTCGACAGCTCACATAGAGAGGGGGACCTTTCGTGCCAGAAGGATACCAGTCGCCTAACTCGTTTATTGCGCCTCGCCCGCGACGACCCGGATGTTGGCCTAAACGGAACCTTCCGCGCATCGCTATGGGGAGCTTACACGCTGGCAAAGGCCTCAGATCCTAAAGTCATAGGTCGCCTATCAGACCGTGCTCGTGATTCTCTGTGGACAACACAGTATCTAGAATCTCCTGCCAACCGGAGTTGCAGGGCGCATCTCGAGCAGCTCTACCTCGATATGAAGCAGGTCGGAAAGCCGATGACAGTCGGGCAAAGGGCCCAATATCTAGAGAGCATGTTCCTCGGTGGGGAAGAAGAGCAGGCTTTGGAAAAGTGGGAAGCGGATCACAACCCACCTACTGATGGCGGGCGACAGGACTACAAGCCGGAACATCTGGAAGCGGGCGCCAAGCTACATGCACTCGCTGGTAACGTGGATCGAGCACGCCATATCATGGAAGAATTATACACACGATACCCCGATTGGAATCTGTCCGTCATGATGACCGTCTTTCGCGCGCATACTAGTTCGGGAATGGAGCAGCACCACGAGTCCGCGAAGGACATGTACATCGAGATGAAGGAAAAGAAGGGTGCCAACGTGTCCATTAACGACTACAATGCTTGGTTTATCGGCTTCCTAGAAGCGCGACACTTGCCCTACGCAAAGCAGTTATTCCGAGACATGGTCCAAGACGGCCATCTTACCACTCTCGGTACGGCAGAACAGGTCGAAGAAGTGCTCAAGAGACTTCACATGCTATACCGATTAGGCACCGACATCTCCAATATGACTAGTATTGCTCTCGATGCGCTATCTGTGCTGCCGGAGGCCTATCATGGCCATTTGTTTGGAGACTGGATGAAGTCTGCTGTACTTCACAAGGCGCCTGAGGCAGCCGCTCAAATCTTGGATATGATGTTTCAGCGAGGCTACAATCCCGAGACATTCCACTTCAACATGCTGCTAAAAGCACTTTTGCGTACCAAGGAGAACCCGAATATCTTGAAGGCGGAAAACATCGGCTGGCGCATGATTGACGAGGCTCGAAAGAGTACCAAGAAAAATCTCCCGTCAGATTCCAAGGCCGAGTTCATAAACAAGAGACGCATACACAAGATTGTGCCCGTCCCCGAAGCCTCGAGAACAGTCCCCAAAGCCAACGTAGCGACGTTCGCCCTGATCATGCACCACCATGCCAAGAATCTCCAGTGGGAACACGTCGACTACCTCTCCCGACAGCTCAAGGAAACTACTGTGGAACCCAATGCGACGATTATGAACGTCCTCATGGACAACAAGTGCCGACAGGGCGCCTACGCCGAAGCATGGATGATCTACAAGACGCTCACTGAACCGCAAAAAGGCAGTAAAGGCGTCTTCCCCAACGGCGCCAGTATCCGCTGTCTATGGAAGATGCTACGTCTCGCACTCGGCGACCACATCACGCGCGATGACGCCAACCTCCCCACGCCGCGCGAGCTGTTGGAAGAAACGGTAACCTGGTTGGTACTCAGCCGCAGCCGCTACGACGCTGAGCGATTCCGCACAGGCCTAGCGGGCGCAGACCACGGCGCCATCACAGCGCTGATGATGCATTGTTTCAGCTACGTGCAAGACCTCCCCGGCAGCCTGGTCGCGCTACACGTTCTGCGCCATAAATTCGACATCTTCCCCACTGACAAGGCGGCGCAGATACTTCAGCGCCAAATGGCGTGGGTCGACATGGCGCGCGAGTCGGAGTCCGTCCGTTCCCAGTATTCCCATAGCCGCAACAACAAGAGGAATAATATCCGCATAGCGAAAGTTTATGACACGCTGCTCAACCGGAGGCTCGATAGGATGAATCTTTCCAGCGAGGAGTACGCCGCGTTGAGCGATGAACAAATCGGCGACGTGGGCTTGGATTTACTCTCTGAGTTTGTCCGCGTGGTGCTCAAGAGGAGTTATCCACCAGAAGTGGTCGAGGCCATGATCCAGGCTGCGAAGAACGATATTGGGCTTCCCGAGCTGCGCACGGGAGATATGGATGCCTTTGAGGTTGCGTGAGGGTGTTTGCATTTTGTTCGCGTCTAACAATTCAACTGTATAGAACAATTGTATTATACTGCTAAGATCATTTCAAGAATATCAACTGTGTGACAATATAATATCCTGAAATTCTTCATTCATACTCGTGTCATGTTGTCAAATGCACCCATCATCAGAGTTATCAAGTGCACCTATGCGCTGCAAGAATAAGCCGCAACAACTCTAAATGTAACTATGTTTGCATTCCAACGACATCATAGCTCAGCTACTACTATCGAGGCAATTACGCCTCATCGTCGTATTGAAGATCACTCATAACAACCGTGATATCCTATGCAGATGCACATGACTTCCCACGCATAAATGCCAAAACTGCCCATCCTTGCATACCATGTCAAGAGGCCTAACCCGGTAGTTTTATTTCAAGAAGAAAAAACGCCGATCCAAATATCAAAAAGCCATCTCATGCACTCACTCATCGTGATCCTCTCAACCTCACGGTGCCCTGGTCCTGACCGCTTGACTCCGCCGTAGCGGACCCTTCCTCCTGTACCTCATTCAACCGCATTGCCCGAAGCAAATCTCTACTCGCCCTCGTTCCGTCCCTCAACTCCATTGCACTCTTGAGCAGCAAATCTTGCATAACCCTCGGGTCTGCATCTGCACCCAACAAGGCCTCTGGAGCAGGCCCTCTAGGAACAGGAAACTCGACTAGAGGCTTACCATTCGGACCGACGCTAACTGTAGATTTGCGAAATTGGTTTTGTGATGGTGGTTCGTCGTATGTGGAGTCTGAGGAGTAGGGATAGGTATCGTCTGTGTCGGAGTCGAGGTTGTACGTGTTGTTAGTGAGAGTTGTGGATGTGGAGTCAGTCCGCCGCGACGAGCGCAAGGGTGCGAAAGATTGATAGCGGCGCTGGTTCTGGAGCGTGAGACGTTCAAAGTTATCCCATAGTTCATCGACATCTTCTTCTTCGAGGCTAGTGTCTGTTGTCACGCTCATCGGCGGCGACTGGTCGTCACTACTAAGTCCGTATGCCATGGTATGCGACCAGCCGTCCCAGATGATTTGCTGAGAGCGCTGGTTGCTGCGATGGTACTGGCCGCCTGCGATATTGTTTGGAGGTGGTTTGGTATGGCTCTGTACCTGGCTTGCCGAGCTTACACCACGGGCGTGCATGCTCGGGTGATGCGGGTCCTGATTCGTTGGCTTGCCTTGCTCATCATACTGTTGAGGAGTCAAAAGACCTGGAACAGCATGATTCGGCTCAGATTGGCTCTTCATGTGGAATGAAGCGCGGTGGTTGTTCTGCGAAAGCTGCACCTGATCTTCGAGGTTGAAAGGGTTATCCATGCGCTCTGTTCCCGCGGTGTATGCCGACTCTGAGCTAGCGGTCGATGGCCGGTAGTCTTCGACCGTTGCCATGTCCAGGTCGATCATCGAAGTTCGCAGTGGAGATCCAGGTGCCGAACTGATCTGAGGGTAGTCATCTATGGTCGCGAGCGGTGCAGTCTTGGCATGCCGAAGGCCTGGTTGGAAATTGGGAGCAAGGGTAGGCGAAGAAGAGAGACTGGAGTCGTCCTTTGAGTGCGTGCGACGCTCTTTCCCATCTGGGCTACCCATAGGAAATGCAAAGTCTCGAGTTGAACTGTTTTCCTCTGACTTAGGAAAAACCCACTCTTTTGTTTCGCGCCGTCGGGACGTGCGACTCCTGGGCGCCTCATTGTTAGCTTCAGCCATCGCTGCGTCAAATGTCCACTCTACTGTGCGTCGATTTGGTTTTTGGGGCTGAGCTGGGAAAGACCATTCCATCGTCTTGCGGTTCGATGGTTCTTCGGGAGGGCCAGGGAAGGACCACTCCATCGTCTTGCGGTTCGGCTGTTCCGTGGCAAATGACCATTCCATTGTCTTGCGGTTGGGCTCTTCATTCATACTGGGAAACGTCCATTCTCTCGTTGCTCTTTTAGTAAGCTCATTCTCGTCGCTATAGGCCTCTTCTTTAAACGCCTCTTCTTGTTGTTCCTCCTCCTCCATCTGCCGCAGTATGCTCTTCACTCGATTCGCTTTGATGGTCGGCACCTCGCCAAGATCTATACTGGGTATATCGTCTACTGAGGGCATTGAGAAATCGAGATCAATGACTGTCTCCCGGTTGGGCGCGCCGGGGTTGAAGTCTCGAAGCACCAAATCCGAAGGCGGCCGCCCGCTGGGAATGTCGGATGCATCGATCGCGCTGTATCTGTACGGTGTCGAGTTTGGGTCGAACAGCTTGTTCAGTCTCTTCTGTCCCCGCACAATCGACTCTTCTTTGAACCTAGCTTGCAACTGTTCGAAGCGGCCTATGTCTGCAGGCGGCATGCTCATGCCGGTAAAGGACTGTCCTGCTACTCCACCGGCAAACGGATCAGTGAACTGCGGTGCATGTTCTTGTTCGAACTCCTCGGAGGTACTAAATGACCAGTCATCGTCATCTTCATCCTCAGGTTCTGGGGCGAGCGGATCAGGCGCTTGGGCTCCAAAAGGATTGAACAGAGACTGGCGTGCGCCACCCTGATGCTCCCAAGCATAGTACTCCTCAACTAACTTGACGAGCGTGGAGGTGGGGTACATCTTAGTGCTACCTGCAAGATATGGATGCTCGAGTATCTCGTCAGGGGTAGGCCGCGCATGCGCTTCGGGCTCGAGGACAAATGCGACGAAATCCTTCAATTCCGGTGAGAACCGATCGCCTTCAAGTTCGGGAACTCCAGCTGTTGGCAAGTCCCACTGTACTGTTCGGTGAAATGGCGGAAACCCGCAGGCCATCTCAAATACAGTACAGCCATAAGCCCATATATCGACTTCGTTGCCATAGGAGATCTCTTTCGGTTGAAGTAGACTGTGTGGATCTGCATCCTTGACCCATTCCTTTTGAAGCTCGGGTGCCATCCAATTAGGTGTGCCAACGATTGTTGATCGCTTGGATTTATGCGGCTCAAGCGTATTGGAGACACCGAAATCACAAAGCTGCACGCGGCCATCTTCGAGAATAAGAACGTTGTTGGCTGAGAGAAACAATTAGCGGGGTTCCAGAAGAGAATATGAGGGATGATCCATACACTTTAGATCTCTATGCAAGACACCGGCTTCGTGGATGTACTTTAGACCGAGGGCCAGCTCACGAGCGATCGGGATAATGAACTTCTCCGGCAGGCCAGGTCCAGGGTCTTTGAGGTTCATCGTAGGCTTCATTAATGTGTTGACACTACCACCACTGGCATACTCGCTGATGATCCAAAGCTCGTTGTGTACCGGCCGTGCTTCTTCGATAATATTGACGTACGGCCGCGCTTTGCTGTCTCTCAGTTGCTGGAGGATGTCGATTTCTTTTAGTGTCTCTGACAGGTTCTTGGTAGTCATTTCCTCGTAGTCGACCTTATCGATGTCAATGATCTTGATGGCGACTTGTCCACCCGAGATCCTGCTCTTGCTACAATGCTGTTAGCCTCATCCAGTCAACCTGCGACCTTACACACCCTTTAAAAACGCGACCGTATGCGCCCTTGCCAATGAGTTCGTAAAAGTCGTATGGTGGTGGCTCATCACCACTTCGCTTCGCTCTCTCTGCGACCAGCACCGCCATTTCCTTCGCCTGCTGAATTGCGCGGCCCTTTGTACCACCCATGACCGGCGGTTGCAGCCGTGTTGGCTCCATGTTTGACAGCTTCTTGTCTACACTATCCAGTCTCAGGTGTTCAATTTGGCGATCTTGCTCAAACGGCGACTCAAGTATCCGTTCCAACGGGCTCTCTACGGCACTGCCTAGGCTCCCAAAGCTCGGTGCAGTGGGTATGGGCGGAGGCGGGCGACTGGGCGGAGGTGGGCGTTCAGATGGGGACGAGTTGTTCGTGGGATCAGAGGTAGAGTACGAGTGCCGTATAGCAGCGCGTTCGCTTCTCGACTTGCGGTAGCCGGGGACTGATCGAGCTGTCGGCAGGACCGATACAGATGGCGAAGGCGACGCAGACTCGAGCCTACGTATCGGTGTAGGTGGCTGGAATGGGCTCCTATAATATGAAGTTGGACTCGAAGTCTCTCGCTTCTCAATCGAAGTACGAGATGAGCGACTCGGGCGTCTTCGTGCTTTCATTGAATCTGTCAGCTTAGTCCACGAGAAAGCGCGACCCGACCTCGACTTTGGTGTCTTCTTCCCCGGCGATGCAGGCGGCGTGAGCTCGCCCATAGGAATAAGGTCGTCGACATCGCTCAGCGAGCGCGTCAACTTAATTATCGCATCGTCGTCCAACATGACAGCGCGGTTTGAAAGGTTGAGGGTTATGGGCGCATTGGGTTGTAGTAAACAGAAACTGCACTCACGAGTTTATTTACTGTGCTTAGGTACGTAGCGAGAGGTGAAAGCAGCTCATTGCGGGCAGGTCGCGTGCGGTGTGCAAAGAAGCGGAGGTGTTCGTCGACATTCACAGACCCGCACTGCGGAGGCTGTACAACCCTATCAACGAGGCACGTTGTCCGTTCGAAACGTGGGGAGGAAAGTTACGGTCTAAAAATTACGAATTGAAAAGTATTTGGCTACGAAAGAGAGGGGTGTGGAGGTTCCATCCGGTGTATCCTCGAAGTCTGGTTATGTGAAGCACCACCAAGGGTCTGGAAGTCCGTTATGGCGCCGATCACGCTAATGCAACCTTAATGCTTTCGGGCAAGCGCGCCCCGCGACGTTGTAATGTGTCGCCCTGACATCATTAGCGCCACATTGAGCATCACCGTTTGCCAACTTTCTTGTTATCGTCATCCATGTACCCTTGCTTCTTGTACGGTCGAGACCTATTGTAGCGCTTTCTGTTTTTCGGCGTTCTAATCTCCAACTTACCATCAAATTGAGAGACCAATTCACAATAGCTTCCTTTCCATCCTATCTCTCCATCATATACAGCACCAACCGAAACACAAACACACCAGATCCTTCAAACTCCAAAATGGTATCTCAACCCATAGGAACGAAGAAAGTCCCCGTCACATCAGCGGCGAAGAAGACTCATGGCAAGGCTCCAACAAACACAACAAGAGCGATACAGCCAGCGAAGAAGCCTATCCCAGCTCCCTACAAGCCCACCACGGCTCTTCAGAAGAAACCTACCACAACAGTAGGCCAGAAGAAGCCTCTCCCAGCCCCAGCCCCAGCCCCAGCGAAGAAGAACCCACCACAGCAAAAAAGTTGGCTCAGCAAGGGCATCGGCGCTGCGGCGTCTGGTGTTGGCAACGCCGCTGGAGCTGTTGTAACAGCGGCGGGTAACGGCGTGGCTGGTGCAGGCAAAGGCGCCGGATCGAGGTAAGCACTCACATACCTTCGCCCACGAAAGACTATCGCTACAATAGAACCGAGATGCTAACAAAACGCGTCAATAGCATTGCAAACACATCTCGCTCCTGGGGTGACGTAGTCCGCGAATACGGCAACTCGCTCAAAGACTTGACCGGCGCGGCAGGCAGTCGCGCAACCACAAAGACCAATCCTCTTGGTTTGACTACGAGCGGGGTGGGCGCAGCGGCCAGTATGGCGAGCAGGCCGGGTGTCACGGGGAGCTCGACGAGGAGCGGGACAGCGGGGAATCCGCTAGGCTTGTAAAGTGAGGTATCGATGGAGAAGGTGGACATGTACGATTGGAATGTTGTGCGTAAAGTTAGCTGCATGTGATGATTTGTGTCTGGTTGGATTGTTAGTTCTTTGGCGTAAAGGGTATTGGGTTGGCTTTGAGACGATGGAGATACGACTTTATAAATAAAGGCGTAGCATATGGTATGTTAAACCTGTGCGAGACTGTTTTTATGCTGGTGATGCAGGCGTCCAATAACGTAGGAGCTAAGAGGCTTCCACAGAGTCGTTCACTTCGCGTGGCAGACGAGTCGATGAACGTAAGTAGAAACACTTGCAGTATGTAACAGCGAGCGAACAGCATGTCTAGGATAGAGGTGTATCAACTTTTTATTTGCTTTCAGCTAGCATCAAATCACCGTATATGTAGCACGTACTATCCTATGTGAACCATCAATCATGAGCAAATCAAGTGAAGAAACGAACCAGATAGTCATCCCATATGACCACTAGCGCCAAGCAATGCGACGCTTATGTCCCATCCCGAACCGTAGTAACGCCTTTGTAAAGTAAGAAATCACAAGCTCGTCTCTGTGCTGCCGTCGTCTAGATCATCGTGCGGAGCGGCACCGACTTCATCCCGATCAGAGTCGCTCTCCTCATCGTCGTCATCATCGTCATCCTCCTCCTCTTCTTCTTCGTCGTCCTCGTCGTCCTCGTCTCGTTCCACCGTCATACCAGGAACCGGCTTCCACTCCACATAGTCCTGTGCCAACCACCTCTTACTCCGCGGCAGGACATAAGGATCGAAAGGAAAGTATGCATCCATCAAGAACGTGTCTTCGCCTTTCTTCCCGTTGAGCGCCGTTTCTCGTCCGCCGATGCCATCCAAGTATCCACTGGCCAAGGTCCGTGCTAGTCGGACGCGCTTATTTGTTTCCATGATCGGATAGATGTACATGAAGCGGAGATGGTGCGCCATGCGGGCGAATTGAGCGACGATTGTCGGTGCACAGATCTTGAGAGGGTTGAGTCTACAGAAGATGTTGCGGCGTATAATCTCTTGGGTCTTGTTGTGCCACTGAAAGTCGCCTTCGTTGTATATGATATCTTCGTCTGTGGGTGGGCTGCCGTCAGGAGTGACAATGATGTCTCGCCAGCGGAAGCAGAAGATGTACAGCAGCGCTTGTGAGATAGCGTAGTATGTGCTATAACGACGCAGATCAGGGCCTTTACATGTTGGCTCGTGTGACATGCGCAAGTTCTCGAGATGGTGGCATAGGAGGTCGAACACGTCACGAACAACCGCTCCAGAGACATGCGCACCACGGGCGATGAAAGAGGCGAGGTAAGCGGCGGCCGATGCACGAAGAAGATGAGGTCGTCCCTGATCGAATGCAAGATGCGAACAGCAACCCGCAAACCGCTCGATGAGGTCGTTAGAGGTTTGACTGAAGTGAAATAACACGAATTGTGTATGCCGCGAGCGATATGTTGGTAGTATGATGTTGGCAAACTGTGAAAGGAGGCTTTCGAATGTTTCGTCGATCTCGAGTAGATCACCCTTTTCGAAAACTGAATCGTAGTAGGAGAACTGGAGATCCATGACAGTGTCAAGCTTTAGCACCACGTCTCTTACTTCTTTCAAGCGTTGTTCCTCCGGTTCCAGGCTTTCGTCGCTCGACACCGAGTCGGTATCGCTCAAGTCGTCGTCTTCCTCTGCGTTGTGAATAGCGTCTCCCACGAGGCGCTCCTCGACGTCATCGTCCAAGTCCTCCATATCCACTTGCATCTGCACATCTATTCTGACCAGCTTGTCCGTTACAAGCGACAGTATCTCGCCCTTTAATTCCGGGCAGTATTCCGTGACCCTCAGAATACTACGGATGTACTGCACATGGGACTTTGCAGTATCGTCAGAGAAGGGGAAGGTTGTGGCAAGAACAGGCGCTAGGAACGTGCTAGCCATTGGGGTCGAACGCAGGATCAGCTTTAGGGAGTCGTGCATCCGGGACTGCAGGCGCACTGGTTGTACAGGTGGGTCGTCTTGCTGCCTAGCGGTTGTCGATGGCGCATTTAGAAACATGCTCACGAGCATCTGAAGAACTGTCGACAGGTATCCAGGCTGTACTGACAGCAGCGAGCGAAGGAAGTTGCGGTAAGAGCGCACAAAGTGCTCGTTGCGGGCTATCCAGCTGCAATCGATCACGGCGTGCACCAAGCCTTTGCAGCTGTGGTCGAGTAATGGCGCACTGTTGGTAAGTGCGATGACGTATTTCTGGAGAAGCCCTGACAGAGGTGCACTTTCAGAAGCCGGCGCCTCTCTGAAGAGTCCTCTGAGGGTATCGTAGGCGGCCTTTTCGCCCGCCGCATGCTTCTCTATCGCTCGCCGTACCTCCTCGCCCACCAGTTCCAGGCTCTTATCATTCTCGTCAGTCAATATCCGTACGTCGACTTCGGGATCGAAGGTGACGCGGCGTCGCTTGAGCTGACTTGACACTGTGTTTTCGGCGTCGGAGGAGTTGTCGACATGTCTGCGCTTGAGGCTGCCGCCTGCGCTCGGAGGGACGATGCCAAGGGCTCTCTCAGTTGAGGCAAGAGAGACCATGTTGAAGGGAATGTGATTGGCGAGGGTATTACATCAGGTCGGCAGTGGCGTGAGTATGATCCAGGACCTGGCGGTGTTGTCCTGGTGAAAATAATGGTGAGGGCGGGGATCAAACGCACGCGACGATGCTCAGCGGCTAGTAAATGGATGAGACTTTTCAGCGGGTCGTATTATGTAATCACCACGACTTTCACCATCATAGACGAATCAACAAGCGCCAATTGCATTTGATTGACACTCTCATGGAAGCTGTAGTTCTGTGTCTCTTACAGAAAACTACAAGTTTGCTGTACACGCTTGCTATCTGACCTCGACCAACTTCGACCCTCATTGCGCTATTGGCTGAAAGCAGCATTTACCAAGTGCTGAGCGTCTGGCAACAACGGGTTATGACAGCATAAAGCTCTCTCATGGCGTTGGCCCCTCTCTATCACCTCAACCTACGCATAGTGTTTCCCAAGGGTACAGCCATCTCTTCATTAAGAAAATCAATGGTAGAATAGTCATGCTCACATTTCGCCGCACTGTGAAATGGCGATGTCCTGCAGCGGCTTTCCCTCTGGATTCGCAAGCGTACGGGTATTCTCAATCTTGGTGACGACGTCCATGCCCTCAATGACGTTGCCGAAGACGACGTGCTTGCCGTTCAGGTGAGGCGTTCCGTTCTTGGCGGTGATGATGAAGAACTGACATCCATTCGTGTGTGGCCCAGAGTTCTTGACTTGTTTTAGACGTGCTTGGAAGAGATAAGGGGTTGAGCACTTACTGCCATGGACAAGAGACCGGGCTTGTCATGCTTGAGGGTGAAGTTCTCGTCTGCAAATTTCTCGGTGCCGTAAATGGTCCTTGAGCCCGTGCCATTGCCGTTGATGAAGTCTCCGCCTTGGATCATGAATCCTTTGATCTGGTGGAATTAGTATGGACTGAGCATGAGATACGGTAGCCTGAAGTGATTCAGGGTACTCACCACGCGGTGGAACTTGCAACCCTTGTAGCCTTGTGGCTGGCCGCGACTATTCTTCGTCTCTCCAGTGCAGAATTGACGAAAGTTCTCAGCAGTCTTTGGCACTACATCCTTAAACAACTCGATTTTGATCCGCCCCAACTTCTCCCCTGTTAGCTCATGTCAGTACTGGGTACTCGAAACGAGGGGCGGGCCATGATTCTGCCCAGCGAAGCAGGAGTAGAGCCAAGAAAGACGCGTGGGCACATAACGCGGGGGTGATGAGGGGTAGCGACACCATGCATATAGAGAAGAGAGCATACCTCCTAACGTGACATCGAAGAACACGATTGGGTTGTCCTCCATAGCGTCGGCCATGAATGTGGCAGTGCAGATATTCCAGCAGCAGCAGGGCGGTTGATTTCTACAAGGCTAGATGACGTTAGATGGAGTTGTACGGACATGGCTGCGCTACACGAGAGACAACGCGGCGGAATTCTTACCGAAGAGAAAAGAGCTTTGTCCAAGTTTAACGTTTTTTTCCTGCCTGAAAGCTGTCACAAGTGCAGCAAAGATCGCTCGAGAGGAGCCAAAACGTGCAGAAGCAGGGAAACGCTTGAGCTCTATAGGACGAATGCGGCGTAGCGCTGGGGTATTAGCCCTGGAGGGTTCCACTTTCAGAGCTACGCAATGCCTGACACTGGTCAACCGTCGGCTGGTGTGTGTGTGTGTGCGACTGTGCAAAGGAACGAAGCATGCTGATGAATGATGCTGACGGAGTCGCTCTCGGGCCTATTCGCAGTAATCGCCGGCTCCTTTCGGCCATGCCCAAGAAGAGAGCAGGTTTCAAGATGTCACACGTCCAAGGGTGGGATAACAAGCAGACATGACAGTTCACGACAGGTCCATGTCTACCTTCTCGCACAATCGTCCTACATGACCCCAAAAATCCCCTTCAAATACTTGCAAGCACAAGCCGTTGGCGGGATTGCCGCAAGGCCGGAAACTGCCATCATATTATATCTTTCCCAGCTCGTCGCTATTGGTCGTCAGCCTTGGCCTCGTTCTGTCCCGCGTCGCTAGTCCTGCGGCCTTTATCCTGCCCTGCTGCTGCTGCTGCCGCTTGCCCTCACAACCTCGACCTACGTCTGCATTCACTTGCACAGCCGCATACCCAGAGGAGTGCCCTCGCGACCCCCGGATCGCATGGCCACCGAAGCCATTCTGCGTATTCACCACTAGCTATTGTGGCAACCCGATCCGCTTGAACAATACGAGGCCCGGCCTCTTCCCCAGCCGGCCCTGTCGATCGCCACGCCCGCAGTCGTCGCCGTCACCACCTCACCAACTAGTCCACCCCGTTTGAGCGACCCTAGGTTCGCCACTTGGTCCTCGAATTCATTGTATCGAGTACAACGCTCGAATTGCTGCGACAGACATTGTCTTGCCGTACCACGCCGTACTCTCTTTGTCGGTCTCACATCGATCCAGGGCCGCTTCCGCATCCGGCTCCGCGTCTCTCTACGACGACGAATATACTTAGCTCGACCTTTTCAGATCGCTGTCGCCTCCTGTATAGACATATGGAACGGTAGAAACACTGCAAGCCACCATGACAACCTCCGCCACCTACGCCTACCCGTCATGGCCGTCGTATAGCGCGCCCTCGCCCAGCGCAACAGAGGCAGTAGGGAATAGCAACAGCAACAACAATAGTAGTGGTCCGACAAGCTCGCCGCTCCTCTTCTTCGTTGCTCTGGGCTTCGGTGTCGTCTTTACAAATCTCTGGTACGGCTCCACCAGCCGCCGCTGCGGACCCTTTTCTTCTTGCTGACACGCTACTTAGGATCATCGTGGGCGTCAAATACTGCTTCCGATACAACCGTCGGCGCGCCGCTGCAGCCGCCGCCGATGGCGAGCCTATCGACCTCACGACCATGCCTCGGCCGCACAGAAGGAGAAGGGAAAAGAAGCTGATGACCATGGACGAGGTCAACGAGCGGTTTCCACTCACCAAGTACAAGCAGTGGAAGTCTAGTCGCGAGACGGAAGGATTGCCATCTAGCGGGGGAATTGCGACAGCACCCCAGAGCAGAGCGCAAAGTTTGAAGGATGTCGAGGGCGTGATATCGACAAAAGATGAAGGCTCTAGTCATAGGCCAGACACAGCCCTTTCCATGGCCCGCGAGGATTTAACCATGCCAAATTCATCTACACAAAAGCCAGAATCCCCCAGGACAAGCGTGGATGCAAAGGACAAGGACACGGAGAAGCATGTGGAGAAGCATATTGAAGCAGAGAAGTCTGCCACCACCACGACTGAGGCAGTGGAGACGAGCAATGCTACTCCACAGGTCAACGCTCCTGAGCGTGAAGACGACTCAGATGATGACGACGATCCGATTCGAACTGCTGCTGCACCAGAATTGTTGGCTGAGCCCGGTGACACTTGCGCCATCTGCTTGGATACCCTGGAGGACGACGATGACATCCGAGGACTCACTTGCGGCCACGCTTTCCACGCCAGCTGTGTAGACCCATGGCTGACGAGTAGGCGAGCCTGCTGTCCACTCTGCAAGGCAGACTACTATGTTGCCAAGCCTCGCCCTGAGGGTGAGGTCGACCCTGCCACCGGTCGTCGTTCAGCCGCAGGGCTCAGGTCACCAAACTCCCCACAGGCTGTCTGGACTACTACTCGCGGTAATCCCTTCTCCCGATCCCGGGTCATCATCATCTCTGGCCCTGGTGGTCAGCAAAGCCAGCGTGTTGACAGATTCGGGCGACTTAGTCGCCCTGGTAGGCCAGATCGCTCAACCACTGCAGATGCTGGGCAGCTGTCGGAGCAGGGCGTTGGCAACTCTAGTTGGAGATCTCGGTTGACGATGAATCGAACGCAAGGTCCAACGTTTTCAAACTGGTTTGGCCGCAGCCGTGGCAATGCGAGTGTGGACAACAATGCGCCAGCCCAACCCACCCCAGGTCAGCTCGAAGCTGGCAACAGGTAGTCGCTAGACGACACATGCTTACCACCTCACTCACATATACCCTCACGCCCCTCACGACTCCCCATACCGCCTTCCCTATCTAGTTCGCGCAGACTATCTCGCTGTCTAGCTCTATTGATCGCGACCTATTCATTTCCGGCGTTACTCCCAGGTTTTTGAGCAACTTCATTTCGGTATTTTCGGTTGCATATTATCTCTCACAAGTAGAGTGGGCGGCTTGGCTGCATCATACCCGGTATAGGTACGGAGAATTCCCACATTTCGGAGAAGGGGGTTATGGATATGATCCGTTGCAAGGGAGCATTTCGTAATGGATGTTCGGTCATTGGATTTGGAATATGGGAGGAATTGTATATGAAGATAGACCACATAGGATCGAAATACCATTTATTGTAGCATGTTCAGCAAGAGGCCATTTGCACCTTCCTCCAAAAGACGCAACTTCTTGGAACAGCTAGAGTGGCGCGGGGCAAGACATTGCGAGGCAAGAGCGCCGATGACCCTTCGACCTCCACTTGTCTTACTTACTCTTCACCTCACATCGCACTCCATCTCGGAAAATTATTCTCCGCACCTCGATTTACGATGCAACCACACGAGTTCAGCCGCACTCTTTCAGCTGCACTCATGTGTTCAGCTGATCTAACGCCATCTAGCAAGACGCGGCGCGGCGCCAAGGATGAATGCGACTCTGGCTAGACTATGTATATTCGAGTCCCTCCGATCTAGGTAGGTGGTACTGTACTGGCATTTTCGCATGAGGGATTCTTGGGGTTAGGTTCAGTGCCCCTGTTTTCTCTTCTGTTCCTCTACTCTACCTTGCGGTTCAGAGCAACCATCCAAGACTCCACTTACTACAGTGGACAACATGCCGTATCAGTATCAGCCTCTACCAGTATCCGATGACCCAGGAGATGTGTACATTCGTCTGCTTGAGCTCCACAGAGGTTCCCAAAAAACTGGACCGATTACAGGCCAGTTATACTCGACGCTTCTGTCCAAAGCTCCTGCTTTTCACGCCTTATCGTACTGTTGGGGGACATCCACACGTACTGGTACTATCCACATTACGAATTCGGCTCCGCCTCGAGATCTGGACAATGACAACACTCTCAGTATTCCTACCGCATTGATTCCGTTCTTGTATCGAACACGCGCCCGAGCACTTTTACAACCGCGTACGCTGTGGATCGACTCAATATGCCTGAACCAAAAAGATACCGAAGAAAAGAATATTCACGTGCCGAAAATGAGAGAGATCTACATGAAGGCAACATATACGGTCAGCTGGTTGGGACCGGAAGCTGATGGTAGCGCTCAAGCATTGGAATACGCTGACAGACTGAGCAAAACGTACAGGTTGCATATGGCAGAACAGAAGCTCATAACCCTCACACCTGAAGAAGAGAAGGAGAAGGACAGCATCGAAAAAGTACAAGTCAAATTGGGCGATCCTGCACTAGACGCCATGTTCAAGCTCCTAGATCGGCCGTACTTCGAACGGGCATGGATCGTCCAGGAGATACTCGTCAGTCGCCAGGTGTACTTTATGTGCGGAAATCATTATTCTGTGACTAGCTGGGAAGCTCTCCTCGGAGCATTCTTATACCTGGTACAAGTCCACCCTTGGACATTGGAGTTTTACTCTGGACATAGAATCCGGCAAGTCGTCGCTCTGAGGCTCAGCGAGATGGACTGGGAATCCTCGATTGATATCGAATGGTTCAGGACGATACTCAGGCACAGGTCGTGCTTGTCTGGCGATGGCAGAGATAAAGTCTTTGCGTTTTTTGGACTCAGGTGTAAGCAAGCACTGGGAGATTTGGGTATTACACCAAACTATGATATGACTACGGAGGTTTTATATACACAGTTAGCAGCACGGGCGCTAAAGAAGGGTCAAGTCGTAGTGTTGCATGTGCCTCGAATTGTTATAGGCAAGGAGCAAGAGGAGGATGAAAACTTTGAGAAAATATGGCTCCCATCATGGGTACCTGATTGGAGATACACGGAGGAAACCCCGGACTCGCTAGTCAACGCTGAAGGCCTTGCAGCTATGGACCCAGACTACTGTGCGACAAAGGACTCAAAATTTTGTCTCAGCTTCGACAGCCCAGCGTGGAACGTATTCGACAAGGGAGCAGCGCCCACGACATTACCGAAATTGATCAAACTCCGTGGACTCACAGTTGCGCGAATCACCCATCTGACACGCCGTCGCTGGGAAATTCAGAAACCAACTGGCCGTCAGACGCTGGTAGAACAAGCCCGTGTCTTGCAATACAACCAACTTCAAATCCATGAGTGGGAGGCGGTCTTTCGCCCCTCCAGGCCCTCGCAACTTTACGTTGCAACCGGCGAGTCAGTAAACACGGCCATGTACGAGACCTTTATGGCCGGCTCGTCACAATACACCGTGGAAGTAAAAAGGGCAGCTACCGCAGCCTTTGAAACACGCCAACGATTCCTCCGCGTTCTTTACAGTTTTCACCTTCATGGCTTCCTCGTCTGTTACATTTTCGTTGTCTTGGCCGAGCGTCTCTTCCGTCGATTAGGTTATGCGAATCCAGAAGTGCAATTTAGAATGATGGTAATGCACATGGCGAACCGCAAAGGGGCCCGAATGGTGAGCGAAGGCGAACTGGGAACAGACTATCTCGCTCTTGTGCCGAGCATTTGCAAACTTGGTGATGCGGTCGTGTTGGTACAAGGCGTTAAAGAACCGCTTATCTTGAGGCCGAAGGGCGAAGGGTCGGTTCAAGTCGAGAATGGGAAGGACAAGACTGTACGGACGTGGGAGCTCATTGGGGATTCGTATGTTCATGGAGTCATGAAGGGGGAAGCTTGGGAAATGAGGAAGGGCGAGTGCGAGGATTTGTGGATTGCTTGATGAGAGAGGAATGTAGACATGGAAGATACTTGTGGTACGCCTCGACCAACCGTACACGCTAGAAGCCCCCTTTTCTACACGAGGTTCAAACTCCTCTGAAGTCTTCTCTTAGGCTTATCCTATCAAGGCGCAAGACACCTTTCCCCTCTTCCAAGTATGACATTGCAGGCGAAAACAAAACAATACAACGGCTCTAGTCTCGGTCATTCTCTGTAATATATGGTCTGATCACAAGCAATAGCGTGCTGTTTAGTAGGAGATGGCTAATACTCGGCACTCGCCACCCTTTCACCAAAGAGACCAAAAGCGCAAATCTCGTGCCCTACTCACGTTTATTTTTAGATTGATGAAGGTGCTAGAGCAAAGTGATATTGGGTCTACGTTTTGTGGCGTTTGCTAGCGTGAACTGTCATCAGTGACAAATAGCCACTCATTAGTTTATTGTAAAGGCTTAATTCTTCGTTCAGATAGATTGCGTCTCGTGGAATGAATGCATTGAAAGCGTATGGGGTTTGGTGTTACTTTTAGTCTGATGATGCGGTTTATTTGGTGCCGATGGGTGGGCCAGGTAGAGCGAAGACACGAGTATTACATGCTGACTTTGGTTAGCTGTAATGCATCCTGCTGAACTGCTTGCTGGGTGTGTAATGGTATATATAAGAGTATTTTGAGGGGTGCTGTAAAACTGCGAGAAGATGCTCATATTGAGATCTAGTAGCACATATGGTATCCCTCAATAGGATCGATACACTTGTTATACAATCGCGCGGCGAATCATGATTATGAAGCCAGAATCTGCATTCAATCAGCCACAGCGCCATGTGGATGCAAAGTAACCCGCGGGAAATGCTCAAATGACAAAAGTTCTATGCCCATGCGCCAACCAATGCCATTAACAATGCCCCTGCTACGACACTGGCGCATGCTTGCAAGCGTCGCTTTCCCTGTAGGGTGACATAGCTCTCGTCGCTCAGGAAATCTTCAGCAAGTAGCTCCACCAAGCCAGCGAATAGGAGCAGCCCGCTCGAGATGGCGTTCATGAACCCTACGGTAAGTAAGCCAGCTTGACTTGCGGGATCGTATAACGTGTGTATGGCCAGACCAATTGCTTGCCCGATCGGTGTAGTGGTCCCGTAAGCAAGGGCCATCAACCAAGGTTTCGGAGAGCCAGCCGGGAAACGAACAGCGCTAATTCTTGATCCGAGCGCGAAGCCTTCGAAGGTTTGATGAAAGGAGATGGCTACGAGAAGAACAACGAATGATGTCCCTGTGGCCACTGACAAAGCCATGCCGATGAAGACGCTATGGAAGAGGATCCCGGCCTCGAGTAAGAGACACTGCAGTAGCTGTTTCTTATTCTGTGCCTCCGTCTTTTCAGAAGCCCCTGTGGAGTCGCCGTGGGGATGGTGGGGTTGCTTGCGGGAGTTTGGATCCGATAGCAGACGCGACTCGTCTTCCGAGTCGTCGGCGTCTTGAGGCCCGAGTTCGTCTGGCCTGATGTCGAGGTCTGAGTCATCTTCATCGTCATCGTCCAAGGAATCCCGCATTATGCGGCTGCTAGGCGCAATCGGCGTCGCAGGCGAGTTGAGCGACAGGGAAGGTGATCGACCTGCCATCAGATTGGCCGAGGACTCCAAGTCATGTAGCATGACGGGCGGAACAAGGCCGTTGGGTCTTGTGGTGCCGTTGCTGTATCTCCCGAAGCTGTGGCTCCGTTTGTGAGGTGGACGTGTGTTTGCTCCCAAAGACTCATAGTCGGTCGAATGCACATGTCCAGCGCCTCTTGATGCGAAGAACATCTCAATGCCCACAACCACGAAGACGGACGTCATGGCTATGAAGCCCGGCATGGCCGAGTAGCCTTTGTTCCAGAAATGAGGTAGGCATGGGTCGGTGAGAGACTCGAAGGCTGTAGGGAGGAGGTGAACAAAGGCGGTCGCTATAAGAACACCGGTACCGAAGTGTCTTGAGAGGAAGAGGAATTGGTGCGGCACAGGGACGCCAGGGAAGCGCTTGACGACGATTGGGAAGGAGCAAGCTGTAGACGTCAGTTGGGGCAAGCGCGACCACAAAGACAGCGTAAAAACATACCCGCGGTGCTCAAGGCTAGGATCAAAAACAGTGCGAAGACGTGCAAGGGCGTGTTGTATTTTCCATGGTTGCCTTTGGTCCCGCAAGTCGGCCGCTCCTGTTGTTGCTGTTGCTGTCGCCGGCGCAGTTCAGCATGTAGGAGGTGGGTAGGTACTTCGGTCCACGAGATGCCTGTATTGGAGAATCTCGGTTAGTATTTCGTTCAAAAGTCTCATTAGTTCAGTGGGAGACCAAGTAATGTGCCACCAGGACGCCGAATGGCAGGAGAAGCAACTTGCCTGCTGCGAGGCCATGCCCAGTCATGGCGCTGTTACCACCACCTCGACGCAGAACCAGTCGTGCTTGCCAGTAGATTCGGGTTGGAGCCTTTTCATATGACGCCTGCAGCTCTGCGCAATGCCATGTTTCCTTCAACGCTTGGTGTGAATATAATAGAATAGTGTCGTGTTTGCGACAGGTCGGGATACGGGACCCATCATCAGCGGCGCCGAACAAGGGTCCGCGTAGTTCCGAGAGCCATGACGAAGTATATCTGTAGAAACAACCCCAGAATTTGGCAACACACGACAGCAACAGTGGATTTGGAAGAGCTAGGCAGTGCAAATCAATGGTGCTCTGACACACAGTTCTTAGAGTCTCTTCTGCCTCTGCTCATTCATTTTGCCTCTCTTCGCTCAACGGTGCTGCGTCGCCCTCGGCTTAGATGCTTCAATATGAAATTACTCACTTTCGACTAGGTATCGCGCCCTATCAGCCTCGAGAAGAAAAACGTCCTATTCTCCCCTAGCGACGTCGGCCAGGAACGATGCTATTTTGAGAAGCGTGGCGGAAGCCTCCCGCCTAGCTCCATGGCCTACATATACGCCAGACGCCCTGCTTCGCTCTCCGTCTTCTGGAAGCCTTCTCCAACTGTCTGCACGAACAGTGGGCTTGCATTCGCCGACTCCAGAGGCAGTCCAAGGCGAAACGTCGGTAGCAGACACCCTGCCACCCAGGCGACCCCCCGGAGCTCGCTTCAGCCTAAGACGAATCTGGCTCTTGATAGTTCCCCCGTTTCAAGCCCCTCCAGGACCTCCAGTAACACTCCAGAACGAAGCAGGTGCATCCCAACGCCATCCCGGCAAATATTCAGATCAACATGGTGGCAACAGGGCATCGATTAGGAACTGTGAGCCTTGTCACGACTCGCACCTTTCTACCTGTCATACCTTGCTGAGCTCCGCCAACATCACCAGACCCTGAAATAGGACAACCTTACCGTGTTCCACTGGCCTTGCGCTGGTAAGAACGATGGAAGGCCAGAGGGAGGCCGCCAAGGGAAGACCGCGCGCTCAGCCAACAGTCCCTATCCAACAGGACTTTCTTTTTGTCGATGCGGCTCAGGCGAAGACATCCCGCCAAGGTCGCCGAAATGCTCGCTCTTTTGTCATGCAAAAGGCGCGGAGGGAACGCCCATGGTCCACAAGCAAACATGCCGCGAATCAAAGAAAGACAGGGAGTCCAGAGAGTACAAGTCCCAAGAGTGCGGGGACCCCCGATTCATTACTCACACCAAACACGGCAACGCCAAGCCCTCCAATTGTTTCCAGTGGAATCGATTACTTTGCCATCGTGGGTCAGAACAATTACAAGGGGGAGTTTTGTCCAGGCTGCCAGATCTTGTTTTGTCGCCCTGGGCAAAGGCTATGCCCAAGATGTCTGTTACTCAAGCCTGCAGCGCCTGCAGAAGGCCCCAACAGCCGACTATTCGACCCTTTCCGAACCTCGTCAGTGGACGTCAATGGAAGTGTATCGGTACTTCTGGGACACTGTAAGTGGTGGCCCCTGCATTTCCATTATTAAACAATCCCCAGATTGCCGAGTCTGGGGGCACGACAACCCTGTTTGATGGCGTAATATGCACACACCGAAAACAGCGCAGAGTTCGTGCGGCGTAGGCATCAGCGTCAGCTCGTTGCTGCCAATGTTTTTTTCCGGCAGGTAGCCGCCTTGGGTCGACTAGATGCTGACCATTTGCCGTAGTTGTGACTGAAATGGCGCCCGGTATCATTGCCGTCGACATCCGACACCGTTCCACATTGATGAAGTCAGATTGGTTCGGCACAGCGATGAGCAATCCGGGATTCATGCATAGCTTACTGTGCACCGCGGCGCTGCATCTGTACATTGTTGGCAGAGGTTCCATTGAAACAATCTTGCACCATCGAGCACAGGCCATAGCTTCGATCAACGCGGCCATCTCGAACCCAGACACGGCGATTGGAATATCGGATGCAAATATTGGCGCGGTATTCAACCTTCTAACTGTAGAGGAGGGTCTCTTATTACCCTTTTTCGAGCAGGAGAAACTAGATGAAGACCAACCAAATCAACGTGCAATACACCTAAATGGAATGCGCAAAATGGTTCAACTGCGCGGAGGCCTCATGGCAATTAACTCAAATCGCATCTTGCAAGCCTTTATACTTTGGTGTGTGTTCAATCTTCCCCACGGTGCGACCCGAACCGGGTTGGCATATGCTTACTGAGCACCAGGCACTCAACCGCCCACGCCATAGCTTCCTTCGAAGCGCCAAACCACTCGACTTTGGACTACATAAGCACTGCAAGCTTTCCTCGACATCCCCCGGGATATCGACCGAACATCTCACAGCATCTCATCGACTACTGCCGAAATACAGGTGTCAAGGAGTCTCTTACCGACTTGGTCGAATCAGTTCTCATACTAATTGCCGACCTCAACGTATGGTTTGGAGATCCAAATAGCCCACTCGACCCTCTTGATATCCAGAACTTCTCGTGTGTTTTGGAATGCATGCTCCTCAAATGGTTGCGCGAGAATGAATACCTCATCACACCACTCGAAGCCGCCCTTTGCGTCGCGCTCCTCATTTTCACTGTGCGCACCACCGAAGCCATGAAGCGGCAATCCGATATCCATCTGCTTCATTTTACTGCAAGCAAACGGCTCGAAAAGGCATTGAACTGCACAACTCGCTCCGAATGGCATTACTGCCCCGATCTTCTCTTGTGGATTCTTTCCATCGGTGCGATATCAGCCGAAGGCTCAGCCGAAAGTAATTGGTTCGTCTACCAGACATCGCTCGCATGCGCTGAATTTGGAATCCTCTCGGCACAAGCGCTACTCGAGCGACTACACATCTGCGGCTGGGTCAGTTACAAGCTTAGTGAAGCTGTATGTCATTTGTGGGACAGGATTGTTCATCTCAGGTTAGAGAACCGCAAATTCTTGCCAATCCATTCGTTTGCTTATACTTGATGCTTTCTTGTATGTAGGCTCGAGCCATACTTCGAAGGCCCTTCAAAAGCTGAAGACGCCAACAGTCCCGTTGGACCACTGCAGCACTCTGTTGCAGAACCGGACTTCGTGGAGTGGGAGAGCATTGACTGGGCTGCACTAAGCCTAGGATCCGATACTCTGAACGAATCTGAATCTCCGGCGATCGGCAACATTGGAAATGGAGCATGGGGGTCTGCGACTGGATGGCCAGACGAAGCTCTGTATGATCTTGGATCTGGCTACGGCTTTGTATGTTCGATTCACATATCGTTTTCTTGTCCCACACTGCTTACGGGTCCCTGCTGGTGTTCCTGCTAATAGATTGCTGACTTTCTGGCGTGCCGATAGGGCCTGCATCACGACAACCAATATCACCGCGGATGAGAGGATCTTAGAACCATTAAGAGCACCAAGTCATACTTTGCCACTGTAATGGCGAGACATCACACTTGATTAGCTATCTGTTGCCAGATCCGGTGCACGATAGAAAGCCCTAAAGTGCTCCAATCGATGCGGCTGTCAGATCAAGAAATTAGCCGGACGAGTTATGGCATAACAGAGAACGCTATTCACTCAAGATCACGATTTAGCCGAGGGGAGTTTCCGACTAAGCATACGATACGCCACAGTGGGGACCATCATTCTTCAGCAATGACTAGTTATAGAGTCTGATAACCTACGACGAAGAAGACTAGCGATGATGCCGAGCAACAGTCCACGTCTCCTACCTACGCAACCCGACTTGACGAATGAAGCAAGCCCTAACACTACCCGACTTGACGTTTGGAGTACAGTGTCGAGATGCGTTGTGCGATTATGCAAGAATTGCTCGTATTTCTGGCATTTCAATACATCCGAAACGGAACGAGTCGATCTTCTATCAAGTCACGTCTGGAATCGCCCATGATATCTCGTTCGATGCATCTCGATGCGGTTACTCATCAACCGACGCGTCACTCTGTACCCATACATATTTGGAACAGGACATAGATTGTAACTCAATCCTCACCCCGCAACTCGCTGGAATCTTCGGCCACGGCAATCAAGATTCCTCAGGTACTCCTCTTCGCCGACTAAGACGACATCAAGAAAGCAGTCTGTACCCACATAGTTGTGCGAACACATGATATGCAATCATAGGGTCGCATACAGTATACACCTGGGGTTTTCTTTGAAGACAATTATCAAATTCAAATCCTATACCCCACTTCAAGTCTGTGACTCATCTTATCAAGCACAACAGAATTGGTGACAGGCAGAAGTTTTGATGGAATTGTGATCTCATAATTTCATCTCTGTCATATCAAACTAGCTTGTCTCACTTCTCAGCCTCCTCCAACCCCTCTATACTCTCCCCTTTGGGCAGCGCTACTTCCTCCCTTCCACCCTGCCCGCTCCCTCGCGCTTCCAAAGCCCGACACCTATGCACCAAATCACTCACATGCGCATCTCCACTCGCACGGCTCAACCCCTTTAGCGCACCCTCCAAATTAAACAGATACTCCCTATTCTCTCCGCTCGGCCCCTTACTCTCTAAAATCTTACGGGCCAGCGCATCGGGGTCCTGGGGACCAAGGAACTGCGGATTCGACGGCAGGCCGATATAGACGAGACACCTGATTGGGGTATTGGGTTCGCCTTGAATGGAAGTTGTTCTGCTCCTTTTGATGCCTTTAGATATTAGAGGCTCAGGGTTAGGCGGTGGTGGTGAGAAGGATATTTCTGTTGTAGTGAGCGGTGCGGCCGGGTGGAATGGCGTGAATTGGATGCTGTAGCCGTTTATCTCGCGTATGTCGAGGTAGGTGCGCACTTCTGCTACTTTTGAACTGGGGATGTGGTATGCTGCGCCCCAGACTTTTTCCGTGGGCTCGTGCTAAAGGGGGGGATATGTTAGTCTTAGGCTGCTTTGACACCAAAGCTAGTGCTGTGGATTTTGTCTCTTCTTGTCTGCAAGGCTGCGGCGAGGGTGCATGCTTGTGCTCTGAAAAGGTTAAGATCGACTCACATGGTCTGTCAACGTGTCCCAATGAGCACGATCAATCAGCGTAACAACGCGTCCTGGTGCTTCGGGTGTACCGCGGTGGTCCTCACTTGCAGTCCGAGTATCAGCCACACTGCCTCAAATGATAGAATAAGACATGTGATTGGTGTGGTATTCACCTGGCCTGCATGCACTACTTAGTTCATCTGTTCATTATTGCTGTGGCAGCGGGCTAGCTCAATTATCATACCTGCCAAAACCGCCGTACGTAGCCCTCAATGTACCCTGGGATTCGTTGATCTAAACGCGGGGACTCTTAGTTAGGTCAAGTAGTCCAGTTGGAATTGTATTGGGTGGGATTAGGATCAGATCATTCCTTACCATAGTGTGGCGGTGGTTTCCATATCAAACTCCTGGGCTTTCTGTTAGATGCCTGGAAGAACAAAAACACGCAAATACCGATGATGGTACATGCAAACCAATGGAACAATTACTCACCCATATCCGAAGAGCCAGAAGTCATCGTTGCTTCCAAATGTTTCAATCTCGCGTTGATGATCCGCCATTATGGATTGCTACAAGGTGAAGAGCATCTACTTTGGAAAGGATTTAGGGCCTGTCATCACCGAGGGGCAGCGAATAGTGGGGCACATGCAGGGTTGTGACGATGGCGCAAGCGACTGCCGTTTTCGTGTCATTACTCGCGGGTTTCGACTGCTTTACAAGGGTGCTTACAACTTATAATACAGATAACTAGAACAACTGCTCAGGTGCCACCAGCTGCTTTACTCATGAAGAAGCCTTTCAATGGACCCATTGCATCGACTGCTCGCAAACCCAGACTGCGCAACGCTACAAGTGGCCCTGATTCTACACTATATAACCGTTGCAGTTTATCACAAACTCCCAGCATCGCATTGTTCTCTGCATACCTCTCACTATTGTAGCTCTCCAACGCAAGCGTTGATCCGATGTCTTGACCCGTCTGTACCGCATACGATATCGTGCGAACGAGAGCTGCGGCATCGCCTTGGCCTTGATTCAAGCCTTGGCCAGCTAAGGGATGGATGGTATGTGCTGCGTCGCCAACTAGTGCGACACGTTCGCCGGTGTAGGTGTCTGCATGGCGCATGCGGAGAGGGAAGGACGCTACAGTGCCGGCTTGGACGGATGTTACGCGCATAGGTATTGCGCGATTGTCGACAGGTGTATGCTTTTCTCGCCAAGCGACCTCGTCTGCTTGTCCTGAGGGTAGAGTGTGTAGGTATTCAAGGTCTGTGGGGGATAGTCTGAAGCCTGCGTTCACCATTGCTACGAAGTCGTCTGGCGATAAAGCCTTCAGCTTCGCAGCGCGTTCGGGAGTTGTGCTCCATACGAGGGTAGACAGGTTGCCGGGAAGTGGTAGCATAGCAATGGGCCCAGTGGGTAGAAACCTCTGGTATGCAATCTTGTGGTCTGGTCCACCCCAGCCCTGGCCTTCAATCTTCAAACTCGCGACGACACCGTGTCTACCATAATCGAAGCCGCGAGACTCGATACCTGCAAATGTCCGCACAGGGCTGTTGGCTCCATCCGCTCCTACTAACAACCTGGCAGCTAGTGTCTTTCCATTCGACAGTGTGAGTGTGGGCCAGGATGAGAAGTCCATCTTCTCTGTATCAGCGCCTAGATCGATCGAGTTGACCTTGGTCGAGGTATAGAAGTCGACACCGCCCAATTCTTCGAGACGACTGAGGAGCATTGAAGTCGTGTTCACGTTCTCGATCATGTAGGCTACGGTAGTAGGTTGTGACGGGTTGCGAGGAGAGAGGAGGGGTTTAGCCGTGTTCCAGTCGAAGGATATGCGTACGTCGGTTACGCCGTCCCATACTTGCATTTCCTGGTAGGGCTGCACTCTTGGGGTGTTCACATGGGGCCATGCTCCAATCTCTACAGTCAAGTCAATTTCACTTCCCAACTCTGTCATGGGCTTGTTATGTACCTTGCAGATTCCTTACAGAAGCTGGTGTGAGTGAACTACATCTATTCGAGAAGCTCTCCAAGCTCGCGTCTTTCTGTAGCCGATTCTTGTGCAGATCCTGGCCCTCAATGAGAGCAACTTTAAGCCCGCTTGTGATGGGCGACGCTTTCAGTCCCGCAAGCAGGCTGAGTCCTGCTGGTCCACCACCAACACAGACGACATCGTAGACTTCCGGGGCATCTGCGGAGCTTGAAGCAAACCTCCGATGGGGCCGTATGCGTACCCAGTTTGCGGACAATGACGATAGGGTCCTGGGCGCTCCCAGAGATAATCGAGGCGGCATCACGGGCCTAGTGGAAGAAGGCGTGGCATGTGAGTGCTTGATCAGTGTTTGGACGGTGGTGTCATGGTGCAGCGTTCATGTTTGTGCTGTTTGCAACGCTAATGACATAATAACAAACTTCCACTACTGGCAAGTCGGGCCTTCCTTCCTTGCCTCCCAGGAACGGCTGGCCCAAGCTTTCAGCCTCGACTTGCACCCAACAACCATCTCAAGATACCAATCGAGAACCGCGGACCTACTCCAAGGTTTCTCGACCCGCGAAATCAGCTTTTCCCCCATCGTCACCTTATCGCGGCTTTTCTCTATGATGTCAGCTTGTTTCGGAAGCCCCCTGAGCCCCGAGTTCCTGCTATGACGACCTCTTCACGCGCTGAATTGGCCGGTCCCTCTTCCTAGACGACTTTGGTAGGCTCGAAACTCGATCCTATAGCGTCAGAGGATTCCGGTCAGAACCCTCGCTAACCTCCCTGACGCCCTCTGATTTGTGAATTAGATGAAGCAATCCAGCTGCCCGCCCATGGAACTCGAGCAGATTTAACCTACTAATAATCGAGGAGGACAGCCATTTCCTGCAATTGTACCACTATAGCCAACATACTGAACTCCGACAACCGAAAATCCCGCACCAAAACGTCGAGTAACCCCTCCTCACACACAATTATGGCTCCAAATTCTACCTTGGAAGCTGTTGGAAGCTGGCCGAATGCCACTCTGTCCGATCGCTAATACTCTAGCCAGGTCCGTACCATTATATCTAGCCGTCAGTCTAATATTACAACGCAGCCGTTGGCAGTGTATCCCGGTACTCCACACAGCTCCTTGCAACTTGTCAAAACAATGTTTGATTCGGTCATGGTACCACTGTTTGATGCCGTGTACTTAACAGTTGCAGGACCTCGCAGCTATGAAGCCCAACCCCCAATTCAGATTTTCTGCGTGCTCCTTGATCTTGCATTACCATTCTCGAACCTCTTAGCTGAGCCCCGCGGAGCCATGAATCCTCGAACATCTCGAGCTACACCATTTCAAGAACCATCTGTCATTGTCAAGATTGATCATATAGAAGTTGAAGAGGACTTACCAGTAGTCCAAATGACTGATCCTCCAAGATCACCAACGAAACGACGAGTATTAGATGTCGCTTCCCGCACGTTTCGTCGCCCCTTCAAACGCAGACGAACATCAAAGCATTCCGCAGAAGAAAGCGTAGACTTATCTTGTCCCCTGCCACAAGAAGACCTCCATACGGCCAGGCCTTTGCGCCTCACAGCTGCCGACAGCAGCGAAGAGTCTTCAGTCGTTGACATCAACGAAGTTCCTTCAGAAATCACTCCTGCGGACCAAGCTCCCCCATCATCAGAGGGATCCCGCAGAAAAACATCCTTGGTCGATAGATTTAAGAATATAGGGAACGTCGCGGACCTCTTCCGTCGTAAAGACTCAGTTATGACCCCGGGCTGTCCGCCAGAAATCGGTTCTCCCGGCATACAAAGTCGCGGCGCTCTGGAGATTTCGCACGATAATGATCAAGCCTGGTATACTACGGCAGATAACGGCGCAATGGCATTCGAAGGCATGGCGCACTTTCCAAATGTAAGCCAATTCTTCAGCCAGAGAAGAATTACTGGGGAGTCCAGCATCTGGTACACGACTGACGAATATTTGTCGTGGCAGGACTCCTTTCTCGAAACCATAAAGACTACCCCGGCAACAAGTCTCGAAGCGAATGCCGAAGACAGACGCTGGCACAACTTGACGGGCTATAGCCCCGAACCGAGTTCAGCTCGCGAGCAGTCGCCTCAGAAGTCATTGGTGAAAAATGTGTTCGACCTCGTATTCTCGTGGCTGTCTAAGCGCCCAAGCGAGAAGAGTCAAGGCAAGCAACCGAGACTACAAGATGATCTGCCACCATCCCCTCCGCTGTCGTCACGAGATAGTCTTTTCCCGGAGATCACAGTCCGCCTAGCAGCGCCAGAAGGTACTCCGAGCTCAGCGATACATCCTCTTACTACGCTAGCCAGTGTAATTCCGCCGATGTATAATGAAGATTGGACAGTTGTAGTAGGACGGAACTCCCTCGCCATCCCAGAGGCGAGCTGCTCAAGCTCCGATTCCAGTGTACCGTCACGGACACTGCCATTACCACGACCAGACAGTCGAGCATCAAATCCTATCCCGGCTACACTGCCAAATGATCATCATCTAGCAGCACCCCCACCCGGCCGCCCTCATGTACGCCCATACTCATCGAACGAAAGCTTTGGCGACTCCTCGACCTCGTTGTCTAGCTATGGGGACTCGAACCTCATTGCTCAACCGACAGGATCTGTCCACCAAGCTGTACCCAACGGCGCTGCTGCAAGCTCCTCGAATGCTGGCGCCGAAGGTCGATCTCTACCAGTTGATATCCCATCTTCGAACAATAACAATCACCGGTCATCTACGTACCCAGAAGTGACAGCAAGACCTTCTGAATACCACTACCTCCCCTCACGTACAGTTTTCCGAGTTATTGATGGTAGTGAAGCCTCGATGAGAAGCTACGGCAGACACGGCGACCGCCCGGGAACTCCTCCGCTCTCCTCTTATCACAGACATACCATTATCCCTTCATCTAGCACTATGCAGACACCAGATCTACCGTCGTCGCAGCGTCCTGCAGTACATCGCAGGGAGATAAGTGGCGAACTCATCTTCCGCATGTCTGCACCTCCATCTCCAGAAGATCTCACGCACTCCGAGCCTCCTTGGGCAGCACAGAGGCAGCTGCGCATGGTTGTGGACGAACAGCATAGGCCACCTGGTATCCTTGCGCACCAAGGCTCTCCGGAGCAGTCTCTAAGTGGTGAGTTGAGAAGTACTACAAGAAGGTACATATGCTAAAACAAGACACGCAGTGCGAAGGGAGTTACGTCGTTCTCGAGACGACAGACTTCGCCCAAACTGGTGGACCAATGCACTCCAGGGCTACGAAATGCAATACGGTACGCTAGCAGCAGATGATTCGGACGCGTCGTGATTGTTCGTAGATATGATTTACTACATGTCCTGTCGTTACATATTTGGTCGCCTCGGCTCTGGCAGGCGTTTTTGCGTAGGGTCTATTTGCGTCATTTCAAACTTATGATAAACGATTCATGAACAGCGTTTCACACGCTCTCTGTATATATACGCTCATCGATTATGAAGTTTGTTTATATACATTGTTCATGATACGGCCGGTTCAGCGTTCGGAGAAATAGAAAATTGAAAAAAGACTAGAGAGCATAGTATAGAAGACTTGAAATCAGATTTTCCGCATTCGCTCTACGCCACGGTGACACGCAAGGTAGTCGATTGGGTGTTTCAGCCCCAGAGTTCACTATATTCGGACATCTGCCAGTGACACCCCGACTCCCCAGAAGGGAGCGCCACAAAGAGAACGTGGCGTAACGATAGAACATCATGTCTTATGTCATTCAAGTAAGGGCGCTGCGTTGGGGTTCCTAGCGGATTGGGATAGTAAAGCAAGATAACCTGGGAAAGTGCATGCACGCTCGCACGCACGGGGGATGGTTGCTCTTACATTGGGTTAGTAACAAGGGTTCAAAGAAGAATGATTGATTGCAGGCCTAATAGAAATAGGAGTGTAAATCACTGAAACGATGAAGAGGCTGTTGATACTTCATGATAACCTGCCCATAGGACAGAAAAATGATATTATCGCAACATACCCGTTGCGCTATGCTAATTAATTAAACATTTCCACATGAGCACAAAATGGAGCCTCGCAAAGCCTCCTGAAATGAGCGAGAAGCCCCAAGTGGGTATCGTATAAACTGAAAGGACTGTAGTCAAATCCGAAACGCTATGCATGAAAAGATGATTGGAAGTCGAGGTTGCGTAAATCGAAAAGTGGCCAGGCCAAAGATGCAACGGGGCGTGAATTAGTGCTATGACGCCTCCTCAATTTTACAAGAGGATGGCAAAGCCTAGGAATGCACTGCCAAACACGGCGGCTATGCTCAGACCAACGCCCGGTACGAAGGCAGCGGGTACGGCGCCGGCCGTGTTCGTCCCGGTAGCACCGCCGAAGCCGGTGATTGGGATTTTGCTTGAAGAGGAGCCAGTTGGGGACTGGGTCGATGACATGGTGGAGGAAAGGGAGGCGTTACCCAGGAAGGGTTTCTGGGCACCACAGGGATGTTTCGAGCTGTTTTGGAAAAATGTGTTATTAGCTATTATTATTATCCCTTGTGGCAAATGAGAGGGAGGGAAGGGGGACACTGGGACGTACCGGCAATCGCTTTCGCACGTGTTGACGCCGTTGCAGCCGGCTACACACTGGTTGCCCCATTCCTGGCAGATGAAGAAGGGCAGCGTCTGCGAGTACTGGGTGATGTTGGGGGTGATGTCCTTTTCGCACACACAGCTGTACGTCAGCGTGTTGGGGTCGCAATCGTTCTCGGTCGTGGTCATGGAGGTGACGTCGGGCTGTTGGAGGCAGATGAGCGGGCATTGGGCCTTGTTCTGGTCACACCAGTATTCTGTCTCGTGTCAGTTCAGACGCTGGATGAATGACATTGGCTGTACTCACGTCTGTTCGTATTCGTGACGCTATTGGGATCAATTCGGTACGGGTATTCACTCTGTGTCTGGTTTTGGGCAGCGCAGAGGCCAGCGAAGGCGGCTACGCCAAGAGCAAAGGCAGAGCGCATGTTGATGATGTGTGGTGATTGTTGAGGGTGTCTGAGTAGAAATACTGTCCACAGATTAGTTTTGTGCCTCTCTATTAAAAAGGGCGTTGCCATGGAGGCTGTCTGGAATGCACTACTTACTAGTCTGCGGGAGACGAAGAAGCAACGTGAAGTATTACAAGATAGTAGACGGTCAGCGACAGACTGGGGTCGAACAACGGGCGTGTGAAGTAAGCTTCCTCGTAGATTAGTCCTCTCAACAGCGAATGTGAGCGTGAATTATGGAGAGGCTGGAAGGGAAACGCAGCGTCGATATATAAAGGGAGGATGCATGACCAGACGAGTCAGGGAGCTAGCGGAGATCGAGAATGACCATGGCCCATGCTCCCCGATAGATAGTAATAGCGTGCAGCCAGCCAGCCGTCCGACCTATTCTCGACTGGCATTTGACTGCATCAGGCAGTGGAGCGGGCCAGTGATTCGGCCAGGCTGGTGCTGCATGTCTCGCTCCAAGCTGCGGTGGAGCGTGGATGCCTCGGCGTTGGGATGGCAGCGTTTCCGCCGAAATGCACGACGAAGGCCATGATAATAATTCCATAAAAATAATTAACTATTTTCCCGTCCCAAACCGTTCGGCATATCGGGGTAGCAGCAGGGATGCGGCGACCGCTGGAGTGAATTGGCCACTCAAACCCGCCTTTTCTGCCAACACCAAGTCCAGGGTCTTGAGCTCCAAGCTCCCATGTGCGCATTGTTCGGCTGGGATGCCAACGCCAGCCCAAGGCAAAACGCCTCCGGCTCTCCCTCCATCGCCAACAAGTATCGAGGGATATCTGGCTGCATGCGCCGTCCTGCTGTAGCAGCAACGCAACAAAGTCCATCCCGCACCCACACCCACCCAACATCTACCCCTCCTCTCCACGCTTCACTATCCCATCTCATACCAAGCACTTTCCCGTTTCACGCGCCACCCGCCCAGCACGCTACTGTAAATGGATGGAGCCGGCGAGCTTTGAACCTGTCAACCCATCCTCATCGCCCGTCCGCGATGGGGCAAAAGCCGCCGCCGCTCGTCCTGAGCGTAGCAGCGTGGTTCCGCCCTACTGGCAGCGGCATGAGCGCAATACTAGCCGTATGAGCTCCTACTCGACTGACAATGGCCGTCCTGCGCCGATTGGGCTCGAGGACCACACGGACGAAGGGTCCGAGCAATGCAAGGCGCTGTGGGCGAAGGGTGTCACGATAGACGATCACGTCGTTGTCAGCGGCACGGCACCGGGGCTGGGAGCTTACGTCGTCTGGAACTGCACTGTTGAGACGCTGGATGTAAGTTGTCCGAGAGCCGACCCTGCGGCCAATCGTCGACGGGGATCATGTTTCCTAAATCATTGTTCCATGCAGAGGGGTCCGGCGATGGGGCTAGAAGAGTGGTGGCATGCAGTGATGGATGATTTATACTAACGATGCCTAGGGTGGTCCCATCAAGATACGAAAGAGGTGGGTAGTATCTATTCCTCTCTAGTGTTCGAGCTGATCTTTTTTTTTAGATACTCAGAGTTCGAAGACCTGAGAGCGAAGCTGGTCCAAACCTTCCCTCATGCTGTGGGCTCCATGCCACAGTTCCCACCTAAATCGGTAATATGTAGGTCACATGCTCACCCCACCTACCCCGCCGGGTCCTAGGTTGATGCTGACATGTCCCGTAGCTCGGTTCAGACCGAGGTTTCTGGAAAAGCGGAAGCAAGGTCTCGCGTTCTTCTTGAAGTTTGTGGATGCTCGTAATGACGCTAGTGAATATCGACTGACCTATTATTAGCTGCATCCTGCTCAACCCGGAGTTTGCTGGGTCGCCTGTCCTGAAGGACTTTCTCTTCTCGTAAATGTTTGCCTCGTATATGACGATATTGGATCTTGTGGTATATTGCGTACAATCGGGCGGCGGCAGCGGTGGCAAGAGCATGGAAGTAACGGTGTATGTGGGGCAAACAGCGTAACGGGCGACGGTCCTCCACGAACAGACATTGTTCACGAGCTCTCTCTCACTCACCGCCAGATATCACGGTAACTACGGAGCGCTTCCCATACTCCTACTCCTACCATCTGCACACGGTCTTGGGCAACCTATATTGGAACCGTCATGTGCCCATCATCTACCACGCTCGGGACACCGGCTATGCCCTATCCAACTTGTAAATATTCATAAGTATAACATAATCTCTAATAGCGAAGACTTGATCAACACTCTGGACTTCTCACCACTGGAAATGTCTGGGGTCGTGACGTTGGCTGTGCATTTTCAAGATCCGCGTCGATGATTGGCTGGCGAGCCCTGTGGCGCTTTACTATTTCCCAGTATTTTTCGGACTTTGTGGATTTCGATTCGCTGAATATTGTTGCAAATTACGGGAGCATCTGGTAGACAGTCAGGCTCTGCGACGAAGCTTATTTCGACTTCGGATAGCCATTGTGTCAAGTGCTGTCGCCCCAAGCTGGTACAGGTGCAGCAAGCAGCTCGCCTGCCAAAACAGCGCGAACGAGCGCGGAGAGTTGACCACCCCCTTACGACTCTGCGCTTTTGCCGTGACCCTACCCAGCGCGACACGCAATGGCAAGCAGCATAGCAATGCCTTGAAGATGACCCTGCGAAACGCGCAGAACACTAATCCACATCATGGCCAACGTCGCTCGGCCTGCTCTGCGAGCTTCGATTGACCGGCGAACGAGACACACGCTCTCGCCCGCCGCGCTCGATGACGCCCACAGCAGCAGCAACAACGTCTACAACAACCCCATCACCACCACCATCACTACGCGACGCACATCCAGAAGCGGCCCGCTCCTTGCACTGGCTGATGGCGAAAAGCCCGTCAGGCAAATCAACCACGCGCCTGCGAGACCAGCTCCTCCTGCCCGCCCTACCACCCGCAAGCGCCCAGCCACAGCGCTGAGTCCTGACGCGACCGACGCGAGACCTCCCACCAAAATCACCGTTACACAACCACATGGCGAGCTTCTCCGCATCACAAATGGCGTCGCCGCGCCCATGGGCATCCACGCAGATGACGTGCCGTCGGCCGAGTCGACACCACGTCCAGACAGCTCGGGGAAGCTCGCCTCAGCGTCGACATTGCATGATAAGCGGAGCTTGAGGAGCCACGATGGCGGATCACGCTTGAAGAGCGATCTTGCCATCTACTTTGCCAATTACGATGACATTATTCTGGGCATGCCCAAGCAGGCTGGTACGTCGTTCTTATGATGCAGGCTTTCAATCTTGGACGCTGCCTAATGCGCTTGCAGAATTCCTAGATCTAGACACGCCCATATACATTGTCGACGAGCCCATAAAGTCAAAGACATCAGCCCCCGCCTCGCCCCAAGCTCCACGAAACTCACTTAGTCCTTCACGATTACGCAAGTCGAGAGCGTCCTCCCCTCCCCGCAAGGCCTCCAATCCCGCAGTTACCCCCGCACAATCCTCCACGACCTTCCAAGTCCTCGACTACACCTCCCTGGCAAAAGGTATTCGCCATGACGACGGCGAAGATCCCCTCGCCGACTCGGTATTCTTCACACAACATCGGCGCGCAGAGCGGAAAGAGAAGCAGCTCCGTAACATTGAGAAGGAGCGCGCCATGCACGAGAAGGTGCAGCTGGAGCGACTGCTAGATGGCCTACAAGGACCCGACTGGCTGAAGGTCATGGGTATAACAGGCGTTACGGACGGGGAGAGAAAGGACTGGGAGCCAAAGCGGGACTACTTCGTCAAAGAGGTCGAAACACTCGTGGACAAGTTTCGCATATGGAAGGAAGAAGAGAAACGATTACGTGCGGAGAAAGAAGCAGCCCTCACTGCGCGCGAAGAAGGCGAGGAAGAGGATGGCGAAGAGACTGAAGAATCAGATACCATCGCCGTCCATACTCGAGATGCGCCGCCCCCCAGGCACCATCCAAAAGAACCCGAACCCCCCAAACCTCGACGACCGCCTCGCCCACATGGCTTCCTGTTACCCTACACACCCCCTCAACCTGCAGTACCCTTTCAGTCCTTCTATTCCAAGCCACACCTTAGGGCTGCGGCGCTCGGAAAACACCGTCATGGGCGAAATGCAAGTGCCTTCGGGCAGCCCATACCGGAGTTCGACGAGCTGGACTTTGATTTGCCCGAGGAATATACTGACCCGCAATATCTAAAGGACAATGCGAGGCAGCGAAGGCGGAGAAAGAGGGAGAGCGGTGTGAATGTGCAGCCGAGCGCATCGTGAAGACGATGGCGCGTTTCCTTTTCTTAGTATACCCTTTCTATATTTCAGAATACCCGGTAACATAACCTGGGTGTCTTGGCGGCGTTCAAGGGTTGCCGCATGGTCAAGGGGCGGCTTCAGGGTCGAAAGGGGCTCATTCAATAGGCCACTCACAGGGATCAAAGGGGTGCTTTACGCTTGTACTATACACTGTCCCATGCACAAAAGTTAAAAGCTTTCCATCACTTGAATTTCGTTCCTGCCGCATATCGACTATGTGAAGTTTGGCAGGCTTCGGCATCGCTTCATACTCCCTATATAACGTTTCTAGTCTTATGCCGTAGTTTTCAACTTTGGAGACGTGTTCGTGAAAGACGTCTCGAGACTCGTCATCGCCCGATAGAATGGTTGGGAAATACCTGCATCTCTGCTGATGCCGAGTGCCTATGTTAGGTGAAGCATGGATGAGATGTTCAGTTCAGCTATACACATTCCAATGCGAGTTATACGTTGTAGTAGAAAGATAAAGCGCTCGCTCTCACGCGTAGAAGCGCCCGGGAACAGGGCTCTCAACCTCCGCACTCGAGAGCCCACAGTGACCCATTTCATAGCCCGCTCTTTCTTTCTCTGCATTCGTTACACCCCACTTCAACCGCTTCCCCCACGGCGCACGTTCGCCAGCATCTGTATGACAGGAAGCGGCAATCGCGACACTGCACGATCCAACGACTGGCATTGGGCTCAACTTCTTCCTACCCAATACGACAAGCGAAAGTGCAAGTGCACAAGCAGTAATGAGCGAGACGAGGATGCCCAGCGGAGAGTATGCACAGGTCATGAAATCGTAGCCGCAGAATGCTGCGTTTACTTTTGTGCCATCCGAGAGCGAGTGCGTGGCCCAGTGGAAGCAGGACCCGCTGTTGCTGTGCTGACCATACATGTTCTGCAGCTCCACCGACACGACGAAGATGCTTTGCGAGGCCAGCCAGTGCAGCAGTATTGAGACGCAGAGCAAAGGTACCGCGTAGCGATACGGGAGTTGGAGGAAATACTTGCTACGCTGCTCGCCGACGCGGCTGGCGGATACGCGGAGGCTTTTGTGGCGTATGAAGAAGTCGGACCATTCGTGCGCTAGGAGCATAGATGTGATGGTCGCGTTGTAGGAAAAGTAGATGAGCGAGATGATGACTTGGGGGCTGTTGGCTAGGGACACGTTTGCGAAAATGCCTGACACGCCTTCTGAGCTCGTTCCGCTCTGTATTATTGTCCGCGAGTCGAGGGAGCCGAGACTGATTCTAAGCACGCTGCGGATGTCTTTCGTGCCCTCAATAGAAGCGTAGCCCCAGCCAAAGAGAGCGGCGAGCACTACGGCGCCTGTGGTTAAGCTAGAAACATGTTAACTACAGGTATTTCTGGGATTGGCAGCTTACTTACGCAATGCAACATGTAATGAGCTTGCCACGTTTGACGGAAGTGAACCAACGGTGTGAGATACCGGTGTATGTCCTCGCTGGCTGGCTCTCGTTCCAGAAGTGTTTAGACTGATGGATCTCCTTCTGAGACACAAGACACATAGCGGCAGTTGCGGTATCGGGTTCGTGAAGGAAGGAAGACGCAGCGTCTCCAATGGTAAGCATCGGATTGTCGTTGAGTGCAAAGATACTCGTCAAGATTGTGACCAGTTTCAAAAGGTTGAAAATAATAACGGTGACAGCCAGATGGATACTAAAGTTTAGCTTGCACTGCTGCGTGACTGGCTCACTCAAGCATTTGGCAATTGGGGTCCCCATAGGTTTCCAGTCCGACGCATTGGCTTGCAGTCGCGGCAACCAGACATGTGAATCCTGTGCGAAGCAAGAACTCCGTGCTTCGCCTCGGAATTGCGAATATATCCACTCCGTTGACATCTCAGTGGCACAGTTACCACTGCGCGAGATCTTTGGGTAGTCAAATTGAACCTCTCTGACTTCAGCCCCATCCTCTGGAATCAGGAATACATTTCCTCGGTCTGACTGAAATGGCGCGCTGTAAGCGTTGATGCATGCTAGGGGGTCGAGTTCCTCTAGGCGTCTTTCTTTGATGGCGGTAGAGTACAATTCCGCGGATGTGTACTGAAATGACACCAAGCGCTTCGGGACATATGAACCGTCCTCGATAGCTGCCTTAGTTGTTGCGTTGAACTGGAAGACGCCATACGTCTGAGCCGTTATAGATGCGAAGACGACCGAGTTGTAGCTCTCACAAGTCAGCAAGACTACTTCTCGGCCATTCTGGAACTCGATGCTTACCAGAGATGTAGTGGAAATGACGAGAGCGCCAAAATCCACCAACACATCTTCTTCCGGGAACTGAACGCGGAAGAGGTGATGTTATGAAGGCTCGGAACGCCGATATCAAGGAACTTTCGTTTGCTATGCGCGGCGTCTACTTCGGGTCGCGAGGGGGCAGACAGACATTGCATGCAGTAGTTGCTGGCACCAAGGAGTAGGGAGCTTAGAATGTTGATAAGTAAATGGATCCCGATATTAGCTTTCCGGGTCCTGCTGCAAGAGGCTTCGTACAGCACGCCTTTTCCATTATTCGTCCCTCTGGTAGCGACAGCCGATATCAGGAAGATACTGTTGATGAGAAGGACGACGGAGGTCAAGCCGACGAATAGGAATAGTGCCAATCTCCATTTTGGTCGTTCCCTTCGCACTCTCGATGTTTCAATGTCGCGTATTAAGAAGGGTTCCAAATGTACCTCGGCCTGGTTTTTGGAATCCATAGTTTGGCACGCGCGACGAGGATCGCATTACTTCGTCAAAGGGTGGGGAGCACATGTTGCATTCTTTATGCGACCCAACGACGTCCTGAAGTAAGTGTGGTGGCTGTGACTCCCATGATTGAAAAGATGGGGCACCGCCTGGCAAGGCTGTGTAGGCGTGCATGAACACGACGATGCAGTTGGTCGTCGTATCACACCAGTCGCGGTTCGCTTAATATCTCCGTTCACGATAGAAGCCAAGCCGTACTAAGACAGACGTGCCTTCCCAACTAAGCACCGCTCTGATCCTAATCTGTACATGCCAGCAATCAGGGACTTTTCGCTGTCCTTGTAGTCAACTAGCCCTCTTCATGAGATAACACCTTATACTACGTAGGATATTGCTAAAGGTGAGCCGTTCTTTGATAATCTTCAGACTAAAATTCGCGAAGAAGAGGTACAGTTAGTCCTTCCTGCACCATCCTTCGCTAGACTTCCGTGGTATGTTTTGCAGGCAAAACTTTCCTGTCAGCATTTCCCGTATCCGGAACTAGAAATCTAGATATAATCTGCCTTAAACTCTTATCTTACAAGCTTACTTTCGCTCAAACTCCAGACTCCAAGACCGGCAGCCTTCCGATGCGACTGTTCCTGATCGTAACTTGTTGAGAGTATGTTTTGCCCGGCTTGGACAAGATGACCCTTGTTTATAGAGAGGAAGTTTAGGGCAATTAGAAGAGTCGAAGAGAAGGCTTGTAGAAGAGTTAGATCGAATCCGACCTTTAATTTAGGGTTAGCGAGCAGCTTGCTCACCCTCATTGTACAAATCGAGGGTAGTATCAGTTGATGGATACTTGAAGCTGGTGCCTTCTTTAGATGGATGCTTGAGGAGAAGGGGCGTAAAGCTTGATCAGTCAGCTGTCTCCAACGATGGTAACTCAAACGGCTCGCGGCTCGCGGACGGCAGCCGAACCAAGGCCATATAAGAGCGAAGGTCATTCAATACAATGAGAGCTTGCGGCGCTTCGACAGGAATGAGGTGTGGAGGGTGTTGGCTTGTGATGCTTGAGGTCAGCAACACTGCGCACGTCTCGGGGAACTAACTGTACTGTGTATGGCATGCCCCGTAATGAACGGGCCGTTGCCGCGCTTGCCCAAGCCTGTAAGCGCTGCCACCCACGCCAGGGTGCGATGCTCGTCTGAGCTTGGTTGGGTGAAAGGACATGCTGAAACGCCATAGCAGTCTATTCAATGGATCCGAAACCAAGTGCGCGTTTACAAAGGAGCAGCGCTTATTGCACCAAGTTGCTTGCAGTCATCGACACCAAAAATAGCTTCTGATCAAGATATAAAAAGGATTCCCTTCTCTGTTTAACAATGCGAATACAAGCATCAACCTACTCACCCAACTTATAGTTTACTGGAAAACTCCATCCTTTAACTGTATCGTCTATTTACTCAGACTCTCCTCTCCTCTTTAACGCTCCCCTTTAGCGTCGGGCATTATACTCCAATCCATTCAATTAACCGTTGCGTGCAAGTAAGTCGTCGTTCATTACCTTTTAGGAGGTGTACGTTAAATCTTATAGGAATGGCTACATATACGCTCTCTATTGTAGTGTATGGGGAAGGCGACGATCCTAACAACCGGTCCCATTAGTCGATTGTGTTCCACGGTGCCGGGGCAGACAGAGGCAATCTTTTACAGGTCTCGCTCCTAGACCGTGACCGTCTGTGGTACCAATTCGATCGGCGCGATGGCGTTACCATCCTGAGTCCAAATTCCGAGGGCTATTTTCAGGTCGCTACTATTCCCGCCAGTCAATATGCGCGAGCTCATTCTATCATAAGCGAGGAGCCACCCCCGAGGAACGGTAGAGACCGGTGTCAAGATTGGACGATGAACTGTGATTGCTCTTGAAGCCGAGGAATTGGTTCCTCCAGAGACTTCTGCATGAGTTGATGGACTTGTGGGGAAATCGGCAACGGAACTGGCACAGGCATTAGGGGGTAGATGGGTTGCTAATAGGAGATAGTAGGAGCTGTGCCCCTTGCGAAAAAGCTTACTACCCAGAGTTGTTCACATTCCGCTGTACACTACAAGTTCCTTGTCAACTTGCTCCAAAATTGAATATGTAATCATGTCGATTTCCCCCGCGAAAACAGACTCAAGAGCTGCTTTCCATTCCGGGTTTCTTGCTCTTGATCGTGCTTCGTAATATTCCCTATCCATAATGCTGTATCCTGAAGAACCCCAATCGAGAATACCAGTGATTTTTCCATTTTTGACTAAGATGTTGTCACGGTGAAGGTCACCATGCGTGAAAACAATAACGGAGTCATTGAGGGTTTCGATCTTGTCTAGCAAAGCTTCGTCTCTTGCGTCAGAGGTCTCAGGCGGCCTTGACATCTGCAGGGCGCGCTTGATCCCGGCATTGTATTCACTCCGGGTTTTGTACGGTCCATATTCGACATTAGATTCCTTACGCATTGGAAAATGCTTAAAGAAGATGTCTTGACAGGGTTGGTGACCTAGAGCACCGTAATAATCGCCACGAAGTGTTCTCCATTCTTGAATGTAACCTCGTAGGTCTTGCATTAGGCAAGCTCGGGCTTCTGGTGTTAGGGCTGGCCATACATCTGCCAAGGGCTGTCCCTCTAATTGCGACATCAATATGTACCCAGAGTCTCCTCGTTCGCTAACACGGTCGACCCTAGCGACTGGTACGGACGTTTGTGAGGTCAAGAGACGCATCGCTTCCGCTTCCGAGCGTGTGATACCATAACCAATCTTTAGGATTTGTTTCGTATCGGGGAGGAATATGATTCTAGGGCCAATCTTGTTCGGGAACTTGTCTACCGCGTTATCGGGCAGCGTTATCTCATCTGCGAAACGACGAATGGGACTAACATAATGTTAGGTTAGATAGAATATAGGCTTCGGGTCGTACTTGTATGGAAGATAGTGCTCTGGTGGTTCCATATCTTGTGTCTTCATGGCTGTGGTTACGAAGACTTGTTTGGGAGAGACGACGGTTCTAAGAGGCTTGTGCGTTGATGACGTAACATTATGAGGTGAAGAAGTTCGAATAACCTTGGTGGGTTCGACGGAAGCGATGTTTGAGAAGCAGCATCGCCCACCGACTCGAACCAATACATGCTAGGCTATTTCGGTAGCCACAACGTCGTCTTTACATGTCTGCACCAAATGGACATCGTTGCTACTAGTTCAGCGCAGCGCAAGCCATATCCAAGTTTACGTCGATCGGCTTCTGGCTGATGGTCAGCCAGCCAGTCAAGTATAACAGTGGAGTATGCAGTACGACTTTGGCAAAACAGGAGAAGGCGGATGGACGATGCGGACAGGGTCGCTGAACGCACCACCAAATACAATGCTCCCAGTGGCGTGTACGAAGGCTATCCTGACACTTATTGCAGTCTTGAAAGCATGTGTGAGCTCGTAAGGAGTGTGGGATGGATTGATGCCAGCGAAGATGCCGCCAAATGAAATGATGCCTAAGAAGGCGATGGAGTAGTAGATCTAATTACTCCAGTTGTGTCGAAGCTTATACTGACAGTAATGAGACACGGGTAGTTATTGGAGCTCCATTGGTAAGATCGGTTGTTGGAAGGTAGAGACGTACATCATTGAACGAAAGCATGCAAACACAATCTCCCTTCTTCAGTCCTATTGACTTGAAGCCAACCTTCTCGTGGTGGTTCTTGCTTGGCGTGAAGAGATAGTTCGGCAAGGTTCGGCAGCGTCGATATAGATCTACACTATGAGCACTATACCAGTTGCTAGGCTATGTAACCACCCGTCAGATTTCTCACCGGCGAATTTTCATCATAGGTCTGCTGATCAAACATCCATGATAAGAGATCATCATTCGGAATATTAATATGGTCTTTGGCCAAGAACGGCATCATGATGATGCGTGGCTAAAAGAGCTAGAAACGGATGGTCCGGATCTTGGATCAATTGTGGTGTGCAGAAAGAGGAGTACGTCGTGACTCGTATTAACATAATGAGTCGAATGTAAATAGTCATGATCATGCATTTTGTCTACAGAACGACCGGATATGTTGTAGAGTTGCCTCGGGAGGATGAGCAAGTGCGGGGCAGTCGGAATCCAAAGCTTCGCATGCAAGCGACCCCTCATCTCGTCTTCACTCCAACTCTCCACTGTCTGTACCGACCGCATCATCTTCATCCTGATCCAGCTTAACCCCTTCCAATAACTCCACCGTGTACCAGCACAGGCTTAACATTGCTGAACTTGGCTACGTCATCCATCACCTCCTTGGTGTTGGGATCCTGAATCGCGGCTCCGAAGCCTTCATGGGTCTCGAAATCGATGGTTGCGATAAATGTATATGGTCCGTCAGCATTCAGCTCTGTGACGGCATAAGACTTCATGCCATGCTTTCCCCAGTACTTCTGGACGAGCGGTATGTGTGTGTTGAGGTAGTATTCTTTGTTGAAGGTGGAGCCCTCTTCGCGGGGGTAAGCGACGAAAACCTGAGCGCCTGACATTTTGAAGATCGGAGACGATGTGATGAAGAGGTGTCGGGAGTTGTGAGTGTTGATTTCGATAAGTTTCGAGGATGAATTGACTTGATAGATGTAAGACAGTGAGCTCGGGTGTTGAAATTGTTAGTCCCTGACCGCCACTTAAGTAGTTCTACTGTCGGGCCCTCTAACAGTAGTACATAGTGACCCACTCCGATGATTCCAACCACGGCCCTCTCTAGCCTACTTCCGGATTTCCCGCCGGCGTTAGACAGCATTACCAAGAAATCCACATTACGAGGATTAATCGGACACTTTGCCTTGAACTGATCTCAGCTCTAGGAAGGTTTACAAATGCCTGCATTGATAACATATGGCCACTCACGCGAAACTACATTGGAGGGCGTAACATAGTTCGAGGAATATAGAGTCAAGATCCGGATCCCCGGAAGGAGATTGGGACGGTCGATGCAGCCTTCGTGATCTCGTTATCCCAGGCAAAAACAGACTTGGTTGCGTAGATATACAGTTACTGGATACATGAGGTATTTGCTGATTTTGACAGACTAGAAGCGTTCCGATGTCCAGACACACCGTGACCTAAGATTGAAACAGCATATATGCTCCCTAGCTACCAATTTGCTTACCAGCCACCGCTATCAAGACCTCAAGGAATCCACGGCATGTTCCCCCAGAGGACTTCCACTGATCATGCTCTCCTTGACCACTACTGTCGCTTGACTGCCAGGTTTCATGGTACCTTCAGGATAGCCCAGGAGCGGAGCCGGAACGTCCTTTCTAAGGCCTGCAATCCTCACGTCACCCCATGTTTTGCCCTTGCTTCCGGAGGGACTCTTGGCCTTGGCCCATATGTACGCCATCTTACTCATACCCTCCAACCGCAACCCCACAACAGTATGGGATTCTTGTGCTATCGTAGCTAACGGTGGACTCGGTGATGAGATGGTCCTGTCCTCTGATTCCACCAGCTTTACTACGATGCTGGTTCGTTGTGCGATACACGCTTCTCGTATTACAAGACCAGTGCCCGAGCTTGCGAACTTTTCCGGCAATGTGCTTCTTATTATGCACCCGTCTTCTTCGTGCGTGCAGTCTGTAAGTCGGAAGCGCAGTCTAGGATCGAGGCCTACGGTCGCACCTGGAAGCCGCGTCCCGTCGATCGTACACGATAGCCCAGATTCAAAGAAGAGCTGCAGTGTCGGGAAGAACGTGTTCATCGTCCAATAGATGATCTCTAACTCGTTGTCAGTTCAAGCAAAATCTCTCCATCGCCCCAGGGGACGCACTCTCGTTTGCCAGCAAGCCTGCTAACACCGTCTCCCCGAACTCGGCCGTCCGCGATTGATCAAGCTCTTTAGACACGAATTGGCTTTGGTGTTCCGTTACTACCGTCGTCGCGTTTGTTCCTCTCGCGTTATCGTCCTCGTTCAAACTTTCGCTGAGCTGGTCGTTGGTACCTAAATGCGTGTAACCCCGTCGCCGGATTTCCTTGTGTAGTTCCTTTATTTGGCATGAGTAGTAGTCCATGCGACTGGCGCGCTCAAAACCAGAATGGAAATGTGAGATCTAGCCCTCCCAGTAAATATTCCAGTGGCAGATACGACAGTAGGAGCGAGTGCTGTCGGGTCGGGCAAAGCTTGTAGCTGATTTCGGGATACTTGAGTAGTTTACTGGGTATGGGAGGTGAAAAGAGAGTGACATGGCCTTCGATCGCGTTGTTCGTTTGCATGCGCTTCGACGAACTTATATCTGGCAAGAGCGCCCGTGCAGCAGCCCAATGAGAGAAATTGTATCTTTGACAATAGTACTCTCGGAGGGTGCTCCATGCACTCTCATATTGAACTTTTTCAGAAGCGCAAGAAGGTGAATGAGCTGTTTCTCGTATCAGCAAAGCTTCCCTCGAGGAGTCCCCGCGAGGTTCACCTTCTTTCACTGCCTAGCCATCAGTACGAATACCATCAAGATTGCGGCCTTATGTGGTAGAGGTAGTACCTAAGAGCAAGAGGACAAGCATATCGTAACACCGCGTCTCCAAGCTTCTGTCTCCTACGCGTTGAAGTGAAACCATCATACAACATTCAGCTAGGTTCCTCTTTCACGTTCATCGATACTTGGCGTAGAACCCTTTGCATATTTAATCCACCCGCCGCAACTGGACCTCAACTTCTGCCGCATTCGCCCAACTCTCAAAGCCGACCTTGTCACGTCTTGCAACATGGCGCCGACCACGTAAGTACCTGTTCACATCGCTTAGCTCCAAATTACAAACTCACAATACGCATTAGTCGGTCCAGCACGAAACGCTCCGCCAGCGATACAGCAAATTCCAACCCATCCGATAACAAAGGAGGAGGCCAGGCTAAGAAGGCTCGAAGTGTCCCTGCTTCCGTTGCAGCAGGCAAGGTCACCAACACGCGTTGCCGTCTCCTTGAGTTACCTGCAGGTACAATCTCCTCGTTTATCGCGCGCTATGTTCTAAATGCTCACATCATATCACAGAGATCCGCAATCGTATCTACAACTTCGCTGAAAAGGATTACGGTGTCGAAGATTTTGCGCCACTTCTCCGCCCTCTTAAACCAGTCGCGCCGCGTAACGCTTGGTTCCGCAGTTTCATCGGTCTCGCGCAGACATGTAAGCAACTTCGTGCCGAGTATCGTCCGCTCTTCCTTCGCGCCCTCCAAGTCCGTATTCGTCTTGGGCAACTGGACGACTTCTTCGCCACATTCTACCCCAACACTCCTGAAGACTATCAGCATGCACCCACACGGTTCCAGATCTCTTGGAATGTTGGCAAGGACGGCAAGTCGGGGGTGATGTACGATATCACGCGCCTACTCCAGCTGCAAGCGTTCAGCTCGACGTTCAACGTGGACTTTGTTCCTCATCAGGTTGCGCAAGGACTTTGGCCTGGAAACAGAATTTCCCGAGCACACGTATACGACTCCGACGAAGACGTGTTCCTTAACGAGACCGAGGAATGTACCTGTGACATGTATCACGATTTCGACCTGAGGGACTGGATGATCACCATGGACGACGAGGTACACGCCCACGTCCACCATCTTCAAGAGTTCATCCTCAACAACAACGAGGCATGGCTCAAGGATCTTCGTCAGCACAAAATGAGTATTCAATGCTTCTTCAACGACGATACTTACCAGTGGACAATCGACATCAGCCTCAACGGACCCATCGAGGAAGTAATGCTTGATGGAGTGGTTGCACCTTCGCACGTCTGGAGATACCTCAAAGTGCGCGGCATGTTACAGAACTCTCGACTTGGCGAGAAGCTTGACATGGACTTCATTGTCAAGTACGAGGAGGCGTTGACTGTCAGGATGGGCGATTCGCGTGAGGTCACTACCTCAGTGATGAAAAAGGTTCACATTAGGTCGACTAAGAAGTAAGGTTACATGTAAATCTATTTGCGCGACCATGGTCGATCTATAGGCAGGCAGTTTATTGATTCCGTCCATAGTGTGGTGGAAAATGCAGGGATGGATTGGCTGAGGGAGGCGCCTAGATGGGGAAGGACAACTCATCAGCCACCTAAAACTACATCTAGCGCATGGGCTTTTGGACATGCAATGACGCTCTACTATAATAGTCTAAGCCAGCCCCATAATTCAAGAACTGCCCTTCCCAGCTTCTCAAACCTTACCTGTTCTTTCCACATCTTGAACGACCACCTGAAGAGAGAGTAAAAAGTTGTAAAGCTCAGAGAGCTCTCTGCAAATCGTAAAAGCGGTGTTACAATACAATAAACGGTACGGTACCGCGACGCAAAAATCTAGTCGCAGAACTATGGCACTAATTCCAGCCATGTAACAGTGATGCTGCTGCTTATAGCAGCAGAATAAAAAGCCAACAATCGCCACCTCAAGTGATCTAAACATCCCCGTGCTCTTTAGCAAAAGGCATTTAACGACATGTGCATCAAATACACTGCCACAGGGAAATGAATCAATAGTAGAACAGGGTACTTTTGACTACATTTTCTGGGTCACGAGCATAGTTTAATTTCTTTTGAGTTACATATACACACATGCGTACAAGTAACAGACAAATGATCCCCAATAAATGCTTTCTTTGATATACTACTACAATGCCAATGCCAATGCAAAGCAATGCAAGATGCGATCCAACCCAACCCTACCCAATCCGACCCAACCCCAATCCAATGCATCTATTTCTTCAATGCAAGTTATGCAGAATATACAAGTGGCCAACTGTGATTGGAAAGTAACAATGTACAGGTGAGAAATGCAATGTCTTTTCCATGCTGCGTAAATATATCCTGTTCCAAGCTAACTATCCAAACAGGCCCATGATGCTTCCCAGGACTATGCTGTTCATCGTGTCTTCATAATCAGTCTATATTGCTCTCGATTTCTTGCTCATGCTATACGTTTTACTGCCTATGTGCATCCTTATCTTCGATACGGTCCCTGTTGTTGAGCGTATCTGGCCGCAGCCTGCGCTTGGTCAAACGAGGCTCCATAAGCCTGTGTAGCCGGCTGTTGTTGTTGCTGCTGCTGCTGCGGGAAATACTGTCCCTGCGGCGTTTGAGGCGTCGGTGTTCCCCATGCTCCCGGTATATGCATATGTGGCGTTGCTGTTTGCTGAGGAAAGTACTGCGGCTGTTGGTACATCTGCGGCATCTGGTTTGGTGTCGAGTACGCCATGCCAGGCATTCCTTGTGGCGTTCCGGGTCCTGTCGACATTCCCATAACGCTTGGAGGACCCATCATACTTGGAGATCGAGTCCCGCTCGGGGTTCCCATCATACTTGGCGCGTATGAGCTCTGTGCCATGGCCATGTGCTGATGTACTTGCTGCTGTTGCATTTGCTGCTGTTGCATCTCCAACATTTGTCTCTGGCGCTGCTGGGCTTCCATCATCTGTCGTTGCTGTACCTGAAGAGTTCGCCTGTCTATTTCGGCTTGCATGGCTGATGAGTGGCCTTGACGAGTTGCCTTGGCTGCGGCTTTCTCCTTCTCGCGGTAATTGATGTACCCAGTCAAACCCTGTGGATGTGGTTTTTGCAGTTTCTTGTTGTTCTGCGATAGGTCAACGAGGGGTGTGTTCGTCATGCGCGCTACCTGCTCCTGCTCGCGGGCTGATAAAGCCGTAGGTTTCATATCGAGCAGCACATCAGCGCCTCGGGAAAGTGGTCGGCTAAGCGGTCGACTTGGCGGTCGAGCAGGCCCAACCGAGCCGTCTGGACTGCGCTGTAGCTGGCTCCAGTCTCCAGAGTTTGCGCGGCCAAACGGTGGAGGGGTCTTGGACTTGGTCCTTGTGTGACCATACATCATCGACTGCGGCTGCTGAGATGCACGATGCATCACCCACTCCTCGGGATCGAGCTTCTGCCTATCTGCCTGCTGCGGTGAGGCCATTCCAGGCTGCCATGGGACACTTCGTGAATCCGAGATCTGTGGAGAATTTGAGCCACTCCGCATGTGCAATGCTCCATTCGGGGTAGTCCTTCCTGAGATGTACGATTGCCGGTACTGATCAGTCGGAGTTGTTGCAAGGTTTTCTCTAGATTTCGAGAAGCCGTCATCGTGCAGCATTTGGGTCATGGTCCCGCTTGTTCCTGGACGCTTGTCATTGAAACCCAAGGCGTACGTCGGTCCAAAGTCAATGGTAGGCACGTTGGCCGATGCTTCAGCCCCATCCGCTATTGTTACTGACCCATCCGGCCCCCTATCAAACTTGGACTTGTAATTGGGATCGCCAATCGTTCTTAGGAAGCCACTCCGTGGGCGATCTTCGCGCCTTAGAGGGAGCCTCCGCGGCTGAATCTCCTCACTCGCTACACTTGCGTAATCTGGCGTAGAGGTAGAGGCAGCGTCATCGTCATAGCGACTACTCGACGCGCTGGGTGGTCGAAACAGCGTGCTTTGGGTGTAGTTGAGAGCATCGAGAGCGTCGGGATCGACTATGTCGTTTCGTAAACTGCCGAGACTTGAGCTTGAGGTCGAGTGGGTGTCATCGTCTTGCGAGGGTAGAGGGGACCGACCTGGTACTGGTTTACGTTGGACACCGCCGCTGTCAGGACGCGGGCGATACGCGAGTTCATGACTCGGTGATGCCTGCGGCAGCTCACCATGTTCTGGAACAGATGGAGCTATCGGCTGGTAGCCCGCAGGCGACTGCACATACTCAGAGTGCTCGACGTAGGGCGATGCAGGAATGGTGGACAAACGATTACCAGATTGGTGGTTCGTTGGAGGCGGCCGTGCGTTGGCGTTCAGATACATGGATTGCCCATTTTGTCCATATGCATTGTAATCGCCACTTCGTCTATTGTGCAGGCTATCTTGGCTCCTCCATGCTGCAGCTGCACCTGCCGCAGCGATGCCAGGCGTATTCGATGCGTCTGCCATCTGTTGGAGCGTAGCGGAGTCGACGGCCGCATTGGGCCTCATCGTAGGGGTTAAAGTGGGATGAATAGGCGGTTTCTGGTTGGCGGCATGCGCAAATGTAGGGGGAAGGTCCACGATCCCCTGAGGCGGCGCCGACAGGTTAGTTGGGAGTTGCGGCAAGTTCTGCGGTTCGTGAACGGGGCTCTCATCGCTGTCGTACACTTCATGATGCTGAGCAGGTCCGTTCTGAGGCGTGCCGTTGTAGACACCATGTGCTGGAGGAGTCGGTGCACGGTCATAATCGTCTGCAGCCTGGCCTTGTGCCAAGCGGGAAGGCGTCGCCTGGTACTTGTTGTAACCGTTCACTTGCTCGGAGACCGACCGTTGGTGGCGCGGAGCTGCAAACGGACCTGCTGCAGGCGCTGTGCCTGCACGACGCGGTTCTTGTGGCTCGAAATCAGGCTGTGTAACTCTTGTTGGCGAGGGCTGGCGGGTGGACGGGCTGGAGCGGACAGAAGCACGGTCTTCGAATCTCAAGGAAGCAGGGGCAAAACCAGCTCGGCTGACCGTGTTCCTTCGGCTTGCGCGGCTGTAGACTGATTCGGTCTCGGGGCCTGCTGCCGACATACGTGTCGATGTTAGATCTTTGAGTTGTTTCCTCCACTGGCGCTCCGACCAGGTTGCACTGCCCTCGGTGTTGATCAAGCCCACGACATCCCACATCTCCAGGTATCCATACCGCCTGTCTGAGGGCATAGCAAACATTAGCCCACGGGCATCCAGCACGTCGGCAATCAGCTTCTTGGGGCGCCCATAGAGACAAAATGTATCGAAAACGGGGAAGAGGTACTGAAGCAGGATCTCGAAGCCTGATACAGCTGGCCGCGCTTCCGGCATGACAAAAACGAATCCTTCTGTCGTGCTCTCTGGCTTCGAGTGGATCGTAATCTTGCCCTCAATCTTGACCAAAGTAGACTGGTCAATCAATGGTTTCGACTGCGGATAGATGGCGTAGCAGGAGTAGGCATCCTTGACGGTCGCGATGGGCTTGGTCTTCTTGGTGACTTTCTTGGTGTCATAGAACTTGATGTCTCCCTTGAGCTGCACGGGACGCTCGTACAGATTTGATTTCTTCTGTGACTTTTGTAGTTTCGCGTATTCCTTCTGGTCTGGCGGAGAGACTACGCCCCAGCAACGGCGCCACGGAGTGCCTGCGCCAAATCGCACGCGAACCCAGTCCTCGTATGGGGCACACTGGCGATCTAGAATGATGCGGATGTTGTTTAGCGTTCTGCCCTTGCCTGCGATCAAAGCACCGGTGTAGGCCTCCTGCAGGGTGGTATGCTCGTACATGGCGAGGCGAATTCCGGCAGACCATTGGGTAAGCGCGTGGTACGAATCAAAATGGAACAGGTACTTGTTGCTTGCGGCGGTGGATACACTGAGGATGTTGTCGAGCTTCTTGCCATCCTTTAGTGTCATGGTTGGAATCATGTGGATCGCAGCGTCTGTCAGGTTGATGAAGGTTGGGAGCACCTCTGCATCACCACCAGCCGTGTCCAGCTCACTCGCGTCCCATAACGAGAGAATGGTGCCCACGAGCTGGACAAAGTACTCTTGCCATTTGCGATCTGGTGCGGGACGGCCGCGAGTGTCTGTGTCATGAAACTTGAGAAAGTAGCCCTCTTGGTACAGCTTGTTCGAGTGGCTGTTGAGGAAGGTGAAGATGCGTTGCAGCTCGGGCAGTGTGTCGTGGCTTACCTCCATGACTGGAGGCTGGTATGTCTGGATCATCGACATGGGGCGCGTCGACAGGCGGGAGTCGGAGCGGGCCTGTGTGTCCCTGGAAGCCGAGCGCTCGTGGTTGTAGTGGTTCAGGGCCGTTACCGACTGTGAGGAGGGGGCAGAGGTGGGTTCTCTGGTAGAGGGCGACGCAGGAGCAGGAGACGCTGGGCCTGGCGATGGTGTGGCCGACGGGGGGTTCTTCTGGAGGTGTGTGTTGCCGCCCCATTGCGACATGAAAGAGAGGACTGTGCAAGAGCGAACGGAGCGCAGCATTAGTACATGTTTTTGGCCAAAAAAAGTGAGACTGCTTTGTTTGAATCGAAGCGAGGGAGGAGAGACTGGGTGTCTTTGGGGGGAGGGGCGCATGATTTACCTCTCTTTGGACGACCCATGGTAGGCACGAACAATTGTCTTTGGATACAGGTGAAAGGTATGTCTCCCGTGTGAGACACAAGACACAAAGGCAAGTGGTGACGACGCGTCGTCGACGATGCTAGAGGAGCAGGCGCGCAAGCCACGGGTAACACCGGCTTGCTGTAAGGGCACGAGCAAAGGACACAAGGGCTATTTCGGTAACGAGCGACGGTGCGGCAAGGAGACGACGATGGGTGATGGAGGTGGTTTTTATTAGGGGCAGCGAAGGAGCGGCAGATGTAGTAGGGTAAGTAGGTAGGTAGGCGGTAGGTAGGTATATGGAGCCCGAGAGGTCAGGTCCGCGGTGGAGTAAGTAAGCTTGTAGAGGAAATTCCTGGGCATGCGGCAGGGATCCACAGGGTATGACGACGCCGAAAAGGGTCCTCGCGATGGCGGCGATGATCCGTTGCTCGATCACGATGGGAGATGGAAAAGCTGCAGTGTTGAAGTGCGTAGGTGTTGAGTGTCGCGGTACCTGCAGCCGTCGAGCGAAACACTACGTAGTCACCCCTAGAGAAGCGCGTGTGCTCGTACTGTCCCTACATTGTCACATTCTGAGCTTCCTCTTGCAGCAGACCGTGTCAAAGCCCCGTCGCGAGCTTACTCATTGGGACTGAGCGTCTCCAAGCGCATTGGAAAGACGAAACCGGCTTGGGGGCGCCCGCTCACGGCCAGTCGGCACGCTGCAGACGCTCTTGTCCGGCTTGGGCGATGATTTGAGAAAAGAGGCTGTGCTGCTTGGCCCTGTTTATTGGCACCTCTGCCTGTAGGAGCGGTGCGGAATGCGGCTCTGGACAATATACGGGGAACCTGGTCGCAGAGGTGTGGATGGGTCCGTCCGAGCAATCCTTGCCATGGAGCATGCAGATGCAGACTGATGCAGCACATAGCCAAGCGTTTCACGGCGGTAGTTGTAGTACTCCAATACTTATACTCTATACTCTAATCAACAACAATGGGCGAGGGCTCTGTCTATTACAGTTTTAACAGTCGCTCGCTCTACTCGTACCATGCAAGGCCCACAATGAATGACAGGCCATACGAAGCATTCCCTGCAGCGGTACCCACACGTCATGAATGTGTCCTAGCTGTTGACTACACGTGTTTGCGCAGAATAGTCGGGCGCTAGGCCATGACAGCGGACCAAGCCAGCTCAATGGCCAAGCCAGCTCAATGGCCATTTATGATTTACACTAGATGGCATTACACTAGATGGAAAGCGAGGGCAATATTTCGTACATGTACCGTACTGTACCACCCCCCAGTCAGAAAAACTCGGACAGTTTAGCGCACAGGCCTGCAATAACAATATTACTACTACTAAACTCTATCTGCGCGACGGGCTATAACTTTATTAAATTTTAAAATATTTATATAATTTTAAATGCAAATACTGCGCATTACTATTTTTAATTATTATTTAATTATATATTATAATATAGTTACAAAGTTACAATTTTTTAAAGCATACAATAATAAAAATATAGTAAAATTTATACTTACAAAAAAGCTATTTTAATAGTTTAATATTTTTAAATTAACTGTATATAATTAGCTTTATAAAAAGCAGAACTTTAAGTATATAGTATATTGCTAATATAATAAACAAGTTTATAAATTGCAAAATTAAAGTATTTTTAGTTTTAAAAAGTTTTTTTTTATTAGCAATTTGCAGCTTAACGCATTAATTAAAATATTATAAAAAAAATATTTTTAAAACTTTTTAAAATAAATATAAATAAATAATATTAGTACTTTAAAAAAAACTATTTAAAAAGTTCTAATAGTAAAAAAAAAAGCTAGTATATTTAAAGCTGCAAAGTAGAAAAAAATTACTATTTTACAGCAGCTCTAAAAAGTTAATTATATTATTAATAAGTAATTTTTGCTTATAAAAAATTTTTAAAATAAAATTTTATTTATAAATAAAGCTTATATAGCCTTTTATAACTTTTTAAATAACTAAATTTTATAAATTATTAGTAAAAAATTTAATTTAAAAAATTTTATTAATTATTTTAAAAAGTTTGCTAATGTTGTTTATTTTACTGCTTAAATTAACTACTATACGTTTTCTGGATAAGGACCCTATTAAACTATTATGCATTAATTTTATTATTAATAATTAATTAAGCTTTAGCAGCTCCTTGGCTAACTTAAACTGCTATAGCAATATATAAATTATTATAATTATAAATACTGCAAACACTAATACTGCAAATACTATAATATTATAATATTATAATACTACAATTACTATAATTACTATAATTTTATAAGGTTATAAAATAAAATACTAAAACTTAAGCTAATGCAAAATAAATTATATTTAGTAGTAAAAAATATAGTGCTAAACTTTTTTGCTATACTGCTAAATTCTGCAATATTAAATATTTTATATTCTAAACTCCCTGCGACAAGCCCTGCAATCTACTACTATTATTTTTATAATTATTTTATAATAAGCTTTATTATTTATATAGATAATAGTACTAATATACTGCGTAATATTAAGCTTATAGTACTAAGTGCTATTTATTGTACTACTGTATTGCGCGTTATAATTAATAACTATTTACTTGCTAATACGCAAGTACTTTTTTAGCTTTTTTTATTATAAAAAACTATTAATAAATAAGTTTTTATTATTTATTTTTTTTTTTTTAGCTAGCTTTTTAGCTAGCTTTTTTAGCATATGCTGCTAGTTAACAAAAAAAAACTTATTTAGTAATTTTAGCTGCCCTATATAATTTAGCAGTAAGTAAATATATTATTATTATATAGCTGTAATAATTACTTACTTTAAATATATAAGTTTTTAATATAAAACTAAAAGAGCTTTAATACTTTTTAAGCTTTTAGGCTTAATAATTAATAATAATTATTAATGCAGGCTTTTTTTTTGCATTTTATAGTTATAGCATTTAAATAGTTAAAGTTTACTTTATTAATAATTAAAAGTAGATATATAGTATTTACGCAATAGTTAGAAATATATAATTAATAAATATATAAAAATAAACTAATTTTTAGTAAGCTATAGCATAAAAATAAGCTTTATTTTTAATTACTTTTGCGTTAAATACTATTATATTAAATAATTATTGCTATTAAAAAAGTATTGTAAAATTTTATAAAATAAAAAGTAATATTTTAATTATAATGTTTTATATATTATGCGCTAAATAATTGCTACTACTAAATTGCTACTACTAAATTGCGACTATAGAACTTTTATTATATAATTTTATAATTTTTTACTTTTGCGCTTTATATTTTGTTTTTTTTTTTTACTTTTTACTTTCTTGCTTTTTATTAGAGATTTTTATTATAAAAATTTTTTAAATATACTTTATAGTATTATTCCTTTTTTTGCTAAAGAAACAATATTTTTTTAAAATAACTATTTAGTATTTTATAATATTATTATATTAAATTTATAAACTTATTATAAACTAAGTATATTATATATTTATTATTAAATTAATTTATTATAAACTGCAAATAAACAGCTTGCAATATACTATAGTATATCCTTTTTAAAGTATAGCTTAATACAGTAAACTAGTATAAATATATAGATTTTATTATATATAGTACTGTGTTATAGCTTAAGCTTTAGCCTAAGCCCTAGCATTTGCAGACTAAAGACCTCGGCAAACCTTAGTAATAAACTTCTATATAAATAGCTAGAAATCTCTATACCTTTTTAAAATATATAATACTATTATTTATACTTAAAATAGAATAATTCTAAAGCTAGTCTATAATATTTATATACTTTCTTCTTATTATTTATATTTAATAGACAGAATAAAGCTTAATAATAAAAATAATTTAAGCTTAATTAAAGCTTTTTTGCAGACTTTTAAGGAAGGATAACAAAAAAATATAATAGTAATAATAATACTATATTAATAGAATAAAAATGTATAAAATAAACTTTAAAGCTTTACTAAAATACTTAAGAGTAACTGCCTACTACAGCTAAAATTTATAAAAGTAGAATTAGTACTTGCTTTAGCACTGCTAAAACTTTAAATTAACTTTTAACTAAGTGCGCTTATTCTATTTATCGCGCTTATATTTTAGCTAAACTTTCCTATTATTTACTATAAGCTTTTTTTAATAAAAAAGCTATTTTTAAGATATAAAGTATACTTTTAGGCCTAAAAAGTTATAATTAAGTATAAATTAAGAACTAATGCAGCCTTTATAAAAAATAGAAAAAATATATTTACTTTTATATAAAGTTAACTAAAAGCAAGTATTTAAAAAAAAGTTAGCTCTTATTACAAAACTAAAAGGCAGAGAAAATAATAAGACTTAATTGCTTTTTTTTAATATTTAAACTTTTACTATAAAAATAACTATAGGAAGGAGCAGGTGCAGGCTAAACTAAAGAACTTTTAGTAAAATAATAAAAAAGTTTTTTTAGAATTCTTTATTTACTTTAAGCAGTTTTTAGCTTAAAATAATAAAGCTAAATAAAATTTTAAATAAAAATTTTATAAATTTTAATACTATTTAAACTATATATTTTAAACTATTACTTTGCACTAAAGAGTTACTTAAGTAAACTACTATATAGTAGTTATAGCTTATAAATTAATTATAGTAGATATTAAAATTATAACTATAAAAGAAAAAATCTGCTTATACTACTAGCCTATACTAAAAGTAAAGTATAATAAAGATAAAAATATTAAAATAACTTTAATTTATACTACAAAAATAGTAAAATTATAAAAATAAAAAAGCTTAATAGCTTTAAAAAGTAAATTATAATTATAGTAATTTAACTAAGTACTAAATAAAGTCTTCTAATAATAACGCAAGGCAGGACTATATATATACTATAAAAAAAATAAGTATTTTATAAAAAATTGCGTAAATATAGTATTTTTACGCGCAGTATTTATTAAAGCTATAATAGTAATATTACTACTAATTAAAAATAAAAATTAAAAAAATTAAATACTTTTAGCTAAAAATTAGATTAAAGGTAATATAAAAATACTATAGTAGAAGAGCAGGCTAAAGCAAAAAATAATATAAAAAAAATTTAAAAAATTTAATAAAAAATAAATAAACCCCTATTTTTTATACTAGTTTTTTTTAATAAAGTAAAATTTATAAATGCTTTAATTAACTTAAAGTACAAGTATTTTAGTGCTATAAGTAAAAAAATAGCAAGGCAGGTTAAAATAAATTTTATTAATATTTTGCTTTAATTTTTAAATTAAGTTATAAAAACTTTTTTAAATACAAAAATAATTTAGCTAGTTA